CTCAATCTCCTGAGCTCAAGCAGTCCTCCTACCTTAGTTCCCATAGTAGCTGGGACTATAGTCACATGCCATCACACCCCTGAGTTTTTTTCTTTTTCTATATATATATATTTTGAGACATGCCCAGCTAATTTTTGTCTTTTTAGTAGAGACGGGGTTTCACCTTGTTGACCAGGATGGTCTCAATCTCGTGACCTCATGAACCACCCGCCTCAGCCTCCCAAAGTGCTGGGATTATAGGTGTGAGCCACCACGCCCGGCTGTTTTTCTATTTTTTGTAGACAAGAGGTTTTGACACATTTCTCAGGCTGCTCTCAAACCCCTGAGCTCTGACAATCCACCTGCTTTGGCCTCGTGAAGTGTTGGATTACCGACATGAGCCACCATATCTGCCCATACCGTAATTTCTTTATGCAGTCTAGCATCGATAGGCATTTAGGTTGATTCCAAGACTTTGCTATTATGAATAGTGGTGCAGTGAACATGCATGTGCATGTGTTTTTATGACAGAATAATTTATATTTCTTTGGGTATATACCCAATTACAAGGTTGCTGAGTCAAATGGCAATGTGGTTTTTAGTTCTGTGAGGCATTGCATTACATTGGTTTTCACAATGGTTGAACTAATTCACACTCCCACAGCAGTGGATAAGCATTCCCTTTACAACCTTGACAGCAACTGATTTTTTTTCACTTTTTAGTAATAGCCGTTCAGATTTGTGTAAGATGGTATCTCACTGTGGTTTTTCTTTGCATTTCTCTAATGATTAGTGATGAGCATTATTTATAGGCTTGTTTACCACATATATGTCTTTTCAAAAGCATCTGTTGATGTCCTTTGCCTACTTTTTTTTTTTTTTTGAGACAGAGTTTTCGCTTGTTACCCAGGCTGGAGTGCAATGGCACGATCTCGGCTCACCACAACCTCCGCCTCCTGGGTTCAGGCAATTCTCCTGCCTCAGCCTCCTGAGTAGCTGGGATTACAGGCACGCGCCACCATGCCCAGCTAATTTTTTGTATTTTTAGTAGAAACGGGGTTTCACCATATTGACCAGGATGGTCTCGATCTCTTGACCTCGTGATCCACCCACCTCGACCTCCTAAAGTCCTGGGATTACAGGCTTGAGCCACCGCGCCCGGCCGCCTACTTTTTTTTTTTTTTTTAATATCCAAGATGGAGTCTTGCTCTGTCACCCAGGCTGGAGTGCGGTGGCCTGATCTTGACTCACTGGAACCTCTGCCTCCTCGGTTCAAGCAATTCTCCTCCCTCAGCCTCCTGAGTAGCTGGGATTACTGGTGCCTGCCATCACACCCAGCTAATTCTTGTATTTTTAGTAGAGACGGGGTTTCACCATGTTGGCCAGGCTGGTCTCGAACTCCTGACCTCGTTATCTACCCACCTCGGCCTCCCAAAGTGCTGGATTACAGGCGTCAGCCACCATGCCTGGCCCCTTTGCCTACTTTTTAGTGAGGTTTTTTTTTTAATTTCTTAAGTTTTTTATGAATTTAGGATATTAGACCTTTGTCAGAGGCATAGTTTGAAAAGTTTTGTTTTATTCTGGACAGAATGTATATATGTATACACATTTATATATATAAACCTACAGAATATATATATATTTTTTATGAGGTGGAGTCTCACCCTGTTGCCCAGGCTGGAGTGCAATGGTGTGATCTTGGCTCACTGCAACCTCCACCTCCTGGGTTCAAGCAGTTCTGCCTCAGCCTTCTGAGTAGCGGGATTACAGGCACACACCCCCATGCCCAGCTAATTGGTTTTTTTGTATCTTTAGTTGAGTTGGGCTTTCACCATGTTGGCCTGTCTGGTCTCAAGTGCCTAATCTTGTGATTCCCCTCAACTCAGCCTCCCAAAGTGCTGGGAGGTGTGAGCCACCAGCGATTTTTAAATTTTATTGTTTATTTTTGCTATGAAAAAGCTCTTTAGTTTAATTAGGTTCTCTTTGTCAGTTTTTGCTTTTGTTGCAATTGCTTTTCATATCTTCATTATGAAGTCTCTGCCAATTTCTGTCTAAAATAGTATTTTCTAAGTCATCTTCCAGAGTTGTTTTTTTTTTAATTTAATGTTTACATTTAAGTCTTTAACCAGTCTTTCTTATTTGAGATAGAGTTGTGCTCTTGTCACCCCAGCTGGAGTTCAGTGGAATGATCACAGCTGACTGCACCCTCTGCCTTCTGGCTTCAAGTGATTCTCCTACCTCCACCTCCAAAGTAGCTGGGATTACAGGTGCCTGCCACCACACCCAGCTATTTCTTGTATTTTTAGTAGAGATGTGGTTTCACCATGTTGGCCAGGCTGGTCTCAAACTCCTGACTTAAGGCGATTTGCCTGCCTCAGCCTCCCAAAGTGCTGGGATTATCGGTGTGAGCCATGGTCCCTGGCCTAATAAATCTTGAGTTGATTTTTGTATATGGTGTAAGAAAGGGGTTCAGTTTCAATCTTTTACATAGTTCAAGTTAGTTATTCCAGCAAAGTTTATTAAATAGGGAATTTTTTTCTCAAATTCCTCTCATCATCTTTGTCAAAAATCAGATGGTTGTAGGTGTGCAGAGTAATTTTGGGACCCTTTAATTTGTTGTTTTGATCTCCGAGCATGTTTTTGTACCAGTACCATGCTGCTTTTGTTACTGTAGCCCTGTAGTATATTTGAAGTTTGGTAATGTAAGGCCTCCAGCTCTGTTCCTTTTACTTAGCATTGCCTTGGCTATTTGGGCTCTTTTTTTTTGTTGTTGTTCCATATGAATTTTTTTCTTTCTTTTTTTTTTTTTTTAACCATCTGTCAAGCAGGAATGTTCCATATGAATTTTAAACTAGATTCTTTTAGTTCTTTTAAGAATATTTTTTGGGTGGGCACAGTGGCTCAGGCCTGTAATTCCAGCAGTTTGGAAGGCAGGTGGATCACCTGAGGTTAGGAGTTTGAGACCAGCCTGGACAACATGGTGAAACCCCATTTCTTCTAGAAATACAAAAATTAGTTGGGTATGGTGGCCAGTGCCAGTAATTCCAGCTACTTGGGAGGCTGAGGCAGGAGAATCACTTGAACCCAGGAAGTGGAGGTGGTAGTGAGACGAGATCACATCATTGCACTCCAGCCTGGGCAACAGAGTGAGACTCCATCTCAAAAAAAAAAAAAAAAAAAATAAGGTGGGGGGGGCGTAAAAAAAAGAAGAGAATATTTTTGGTAGTTTGATAGAAATGGTATTCAATCTGTAGATTATTTGGGCAGTATGCCCATTTTAATATTGATCTTTTCTATCCATGAGCATAAAATGATTTTTCATTTTTATCATCTCTGACTTATGTAAGTGATGTTTTTTTGTTTTGTTTTGTTTTAATTTTTGTTATAGAGATCTTTCACCTCTCTGGTTAGCTGTATTCCTAGATATTTATTTTTTTGTAGTAGGTGTAAATGAGATTTTGTTTTTGATTTGGCTTTTAGTTCTGGCATTGTTGATGTACATGGATACTACTGATTTTTGCACATTTATTTATTTATTTATTTATTTATTTTATTCTTTGAGACGGAGTTTCGCTCTTGTTACCCAGGCTGGAGTGCAATGGCGCGATCTCGGCTCACCGCAACCTCTGCCTCCTGGGTTTAAGGCAATTCTCCTGCCTCAGCCTCCTGAGTAGCTGGGATTACAGACACACGCCCCCATGCCCAGCTAATTTTTTGTATTTTGAGTAGAGACGGGGTTTCACCACGTTGACCACGATGGTCTTGATCTCTTGACCTCGTGATCCACCCACCTCGGCCTCCCAAAGTGCTGGGATTACAGGTATGAGCCACCGTGCCTGGCGTTTTACATTTATTTTGTATCCTGAGGCTTCTGCAGTTGTTTATCAGTTTAAAGAGCTTTTCTGCCATGACTATAGTCTTCTAGATATATATAGAATCATGTCGTCTGCAAAAAATGAAAGTTTGGCATCCTCCCTTCCTGTTTGGATGCCTTTTTTTTCCTCATCTGATTGCTCTGGGCAGCACTTCCAATCCTGTCTTGAATAGGAGTGGTGAGAGAAGACATCTTTGTCTTGTGCCATTTTTTGAGGGGAAATGTTTCCAGCTTGTGTCCATTCAGTATGTTGACTGTGGGTTTGTCATAGATAATTTGTTATTTTGAAGTATGTACTTTTTCAATGCCTAATTGGTTGAGGGCTATTAACATAAAGAATGTTAAATTTTGTTGAACAACTTTTTTTTTATTTTTGAGATGCAGTTTTGCTCTTGTTTCCCAGGCTGGAATGCAGTGGTGGGATTTTGGCTCAATGCAGCCTCCATTTCCCAGGTTCAAGCAATACTCCTGCCTCAGCCTCCTGAATAGTTGGGATTACAGGCATGTGCTACCACTCTCGGCTAATTTTGTATTTTTAGTAGAGATGGGGTTTCTCTATGTTGGTCAGGCTGTACCCATAGATGTTTTTTCTTTCTTTTTTTCTCTTTCTCTTGTTTCCTAGACTGGAATGCAGTTGCACAATCTCAGCTCAATGCAACCACCGCCTCCCGGGTTCAAGCAATCCTCCTGAGTGGCTGGGATTACAAGCACATACCACCCATACCCAGCTAATTGTATTTTTAGTAGAGATGGGGTTTCACCATGTTGGTCAGGCTGTTCTTGAACTTCTGACCTTGTCATCCACCCACCTCGGCCTCCCAAAGTGCTGGGATTACAGGCGTGAGCCACCGCGCCCAGCTGATGTAAAATTATTAAAAGCACAAAAAAAGGAGCAATTGAAACTCTTCAACAGCAAGGTCTTCATACATTTATTAAAATAGTACTGTATTAACTCTAGGTTGATTGTGATATGTTAAAGATGCATATGCTTATACCTGGAGAAACTACTAAAAAAGGTAAAGAGGTGTCACTTAAATGCTAACAAAGAAATTGAATTATGTATCAAAAGGTATTTGTACGAGAATGTTTATAGACCTTTTACTCATAATAGCTTAAAGCAGGAAGCAACCCAAATGTCTATTTCTAGGATGATGACTACACAAACTGTAGCTCATTCATACAAAAGGAGACTATTCAGCCATAGAAAGAAACAAACTACTGAAGCACACACCCTGGGTGAGTCTCATAAAACTGCTACGACAAGCTTGAAATAAAATGATACATATTGTGTAATGCCAAGAAAAATGAACCAATTGTAAAAAACATCACCAAGGAAATAGCCTCTGGTAGAGAATAACGTTGTCTAGAAAAAAGCATGAGGAAAATATATGAGAATGAAAAAAAGATTTTGTTGTTCAATTCTGTTTTATTAATAGAGAAATAGTCTGTTCATTCATTTTTTTTTTTTTTTTTTTTGAGACGGAGTTTCGCTCTTGTCACCAGGCTGGAGTGCAATGGCGCAATCTCGGCTCACCGCAACCTCCGCCTCCTGGGTTCAGGCAATTCTCCTGCCTCAGCCTCCTGAGTAGCTGGGATTACAGGCACGTGCCACCATGCCCAGCTAATATTTTGTATTTTTAGTAGAGACCAGGTTTCACCATGTTGACCAGGATGGTCTCGATCTCTTGACCTTGTGATCCACCCGCCTCGGCCTCCCAAAGTGCTGGGATTATAGGCTTGAGCCACTGCGCCTGGCCGAATTCTCTTTTTTTAATTTACTGCATTACCTCTAAATTTCCCAAAATCATCTTTTTGTTTTTTTTGCAGCAATGTGATGTTCATAAGATTTGATAACTGTCTAGAGTCACATACCCATTTTCAAAGTACCACCCAGGACTGTTTCATTGCCTTAATTTTCTTTCTCCTCCATCTCCCCTTTCTTCTTTTCCACTTTCTTCTCCATCTCCTCTCTCCTCTCCTGCCTTCTTCTTCTTCTTTTTTTTTTTTTCTGAGATGGAGTTTTGTTGTTGTTACCCAGGCTGGAGTGCAATGGTGTGATCTCGGCTCACCACAACCTCCGCCTCCTGGGTTCAGGCAATTCTCCTGCCTCAGCCTCCTGAGTAGCTGGGATTACAGGCACAGGCCACCATGCCCAGCTAATTTTTTGTATTTTTAGTAGAGACGGGGTTTCACCATGTTGACCAGGATGGTCTCGATCTCTTGACCTCGTGATCCACCCGCCTCGGCCTCCCAAAGTGCTGGGATTACAGGCGTGAGCCACCGTGCCCGGCCAGTCTGTTCATTCTTAAAATATATGAAGTTCACTTTGGGAGGTTAAGCTGGGCAGATCACTTGAGGTAAAAAGTTTGAGACCAGTCTAGTCTACATGGTGAAACCTTGTCTCTACTAAAATACATAAATTAGCTGAGCGTGGTGGTGCACAGTTGTAGTACCAGCTACTCAGAAGGCCGAGGCAGGAGAATTACTTGAACCTGGAGGTGGAAGTTGGAAACGTGAGCCAGGATTGCACCACTGCACTTCAGCCTGGGCAACAGAGTGAGACCCCGTTTAAAAAATAAATAAATAGGGGCAGGTGGGATGTATCATGCCTATAGTCCCAGCACATTGGGAGGCTGAGGCAAGTGGATCACGAGGTCAAGAGTTCAAGACTAACCTGGCTAACATGGTAAAACCCTGTTTCTACAAAAATACAAAAATTAGCTGGGCATGGTGGCACACACCTGTAATCCCAGCTACTTAGGAGGCTGAGGCAGGAGAATTGCTTAAACCCAGGAGACAGAGGTTTCAATGTGCCGAGATCATGCCACTCTGTTCCAGCCTGATGACAGAGTGAGACTCCATCTAAAAAAAATGAAATAAAAAAGGATGAATTTATTTGCCAAAAATTTTCAGTTAGAATTAGTGCCTCCTAACATATGTATATGGTCACCAGTGATATAACTATATACCTAGGAAACCCTAAATACTCACCTAAAAAGCTTTCAGGGCTGGGTTCAGTGGCTTGAGCCTGTAATTCCAACACTTGGGGGGCCGAGGCAGGTGGATCACCTGAGATCAGGAGTTCAAGACCAGCCTGTCTAACATGGTGAAACCCTGTCTATGCTAAAAATACAAAAATTAGCTGGGCATGGTGGCGGGTGCCTGTAATCCAAGCTACTAGGGAGGCTAAGGCAAAAAAAATCACTTGAACCCAGGAGGTGGAAGTAGCAGTGAGCTGAGATTGTGCCACTGAACTCCAGCCTGGGAGACAGAGTAAGACCCTGTCTCAGAAAAAAAAAAGCTTTTAGCTACATAAATTCAGTAAAGTTTCAGGATACAAAATCAATGTGTGCAAATTAGTGGAACTGTTGTACACTAACAGTGACCAAACCAAGAATTAAGAACTCAACTCATTTAAAAATAGCTGCAAAAAAATTAAATAATTAGAAATATATCTAAGCATGGTGGTGAAAGCTATGACATGTTGCTAAAGAAATCATAGACAGCACAACAAATGGAAGCACGTTCCATGCTTATGGATGGGTAGGGTCAATATTGTGACAATGATCAACCTAGCAAAGGCAATCTACAAATTCAATGTAATTCCCATCAAAATAACATCATTCTTCACAGAACTAAAAATATATATATATATATAAAGCCTGCATAGTCAAAGCAAGACTAAGAGAAAAACCATAATAAACCCCCAACAAAGCCAAAAGCCCACCAAAAAAAAAAAAAAAAAAAAAAAATTAAAGACATCACATTATCAGACTTCGCCACTATACTACAAGGCTATAGTTACCAAAACAGCATTGTATGAGTATAAAAATTCACATGTAGACCAATGAAACAAAATAGGAAAACTGGAAATAAACCCAAATACTCAACAGCCAACTGATCTTTGACAAGTAAACAAAGATAAAAGTGAAGAAAAGACACCCTGTTCAATAAATGGTGCTGGGATAACTGGCAAGCCACGTACTGTAGAATAAAACTGGATCTTCATCTCTCACTTTATACAAAAGTCAACTGAAGATGGATCAAATACTTATGCCTGACACTATACAAATTCTAGAACATAACATTGGAAAAACTCTTCTAGACATTGACTTAGGCAAAAAGTGCATGACCAAGATCCCCAAAACAAATGCAACAAAAAGACAGATGGGACTTAAACAGTTCTCAAAAGAATATGTACAAATGGCCAACAAACAGAAAAAAAAATGCTGAACATCACTAATGATTAGTGATCAGGGAAATGCAAATCAAAACAATGTGATACCACCTTACTCTTGCAGAGTGACCATAATTGACCAGGTATGGTGGCTCATGCCTGTAATCCCAGCACTTTGGGAGGCCAAGACGGGTAAATCACCCAAAGTCAGGAGTTCCAGACTAGCCTGGCTAACATGGTAAAACCCGTTTCTACTAAAAATACAGAAATTAGCTGGGCATGGTGGTGTGTTTCTGCAATCCCTGCTGAGGCTAAGGCAGGAGAATTGCTTGAACTGGGAAACAGATTGCAGTGAGACAAGATTGTGCCACTGCACTCCAGTTTGGGTGACAGATGGAGACTCCATCTCATAAACAAACTAACAAAAAAGACCATAATTAAAACATAAAAAAAATAGGCCCGTCATGATGGCTCATGTTTGTAATCCAAGCACTTTGGGAGGCTGAAATGGGCAGATCACCTGAGGTCAGGAGTTTGAGACCAGCCTTGCCAATTGGTGAAACCCTATCTCTATTAAAATACAAAAATTAACGGCATGGTGGTGGGTGCTGGTAGTCCCAGCGACTCAGGAGGCTGAGGCAGGAGAATCACCTGAACCTGGGAGAAGGAGGTTGCAGTGAGCCGATATCACACCATTGCATTCCAGCCTGGGTGGCAAGCAAAATTCCATCTCAAAAAAAGAAAAAAGAAAAACCCAAGTATTGTATGTTCTCACTTACAAGTAGGAGCAAAGCCATGACGATACGAAGGCATCAGAATTATATAATGTAGGCCCGCACGGTGGCTCATGCCTGTAATCCCAGCACTTTGGGAGGCCGAGGCGGGTGGATCACCTGAGGTCAGTAGTTCAAGACCAGTCTGGCTAACATGGTGAAACCCCATCTTTATAAATAAAAATAAATAAAATAAAAATAATTATATAATAAACTCTGGGCACTCAGCAGAAAGGGGAAGGGATAAAAGACTATACATTGGGTACAGTGTATAGTGCTTGGGAGATCGGTACACCAAAATCTCAGAAATTACCACAAAATAACTTTCTGTACCCCCAAACTATTCAAATAATAATTTAAAAATAAACAACAACAAAAAACACCCCAAACCCCATAAGTTTACATGCTTTACCTTTATTTATTTATTTATTTATTTATTTATTTATTTATTTTAGAAAGGGTCTCACTCTGTCATCCAGAATGGAGTACAATGGCGTGATCAGGGCTCACTGTAGCTGCAACCTCCTGGGGTCAGGCAGTCCTACTATTAGCTCCTGAATAGCTTGGTACTACAGGTACAGGCTACCATGCTAAGCTAATTTTTGTATTTTTTGTGGACGTGGGTTTTTGCCATGTTGCCCAGGCTGGTCTTGAATTCCTGGGCTTACACAGTCTTCATGTCTTGGTCTCCCAAAATGCTGGGATTATAAGCATGAGCCACCATGTCTGACCAGAATGCGTTTGTTATATGATATGGAAAACAAAACATGGCTGGGCGTAGTGGCTCACGCCTGTAATCCAAGCACTTTGGAGGCCAAGGTGGGTGGATCACCTGAGGTCGGGAGTTCAAGACCAGCCTGACCAATATGGTGAAACCCCATCTTTAAAAAAAACAAAAATATATTTAGATCTGTTAGTTAACCAAAAAATTGAAAAAAATATTTTATTAAAATACACACACACACGCACACACACACAGAGTTTGTGATGGAGTCTTGCTCTCTCACCCAGGCTGGAGTGTAGTGGCGCAATCTTGGCTCACTGCAACTTCCCCCTCCCGGGTTCAAGCTAAAAAAAATTTAAATTATAGAAACTCCAATTTAAGTTCCATTAAATAAGCTTACAAAAAAAAAGAACTGAAGGCCGAGTACGGTGGCTCATACCTGTAATCCCAGCACTTTGGGAGGCCATGGTGGGCGGATCACCTGAGGTTGGGAGTTCAAGACCAGCCTGACCAACATGAAGAAACCCCGTCTCTACTAAAAATATAAAATTAGCTGAGTGTGGTGTGCATGGCTATAATCTGAGCTACTCAGGAGGCTGAGGCAGGAGAATTGCTTGAACCCAGGAGGTGGAAGTTGCAGTGAGCTGAGATTGCACCACTGCACTCCAGCCTAGGCAACAAGAGTGAAACTGCATCTCAAAAACAAACAAACAAAAAAACCAAACCCTGAAAGTACTCCCCAGTGGCATAGAGCACAGAATTCTACACTGGCTGTACACCCTGACCCAGGCTTGTTCATATACAACCTTTCTGGAGGCCTTATTTTTGTCTGGCTCTACCCTGGAGTCTTGCCTCACAGAACTGATTAGAAGAGATCAGAGTTTTGGGTCATGAATTCTGTTGCTTTCTTAGAGCTGGTACTCGACATTTTTTGAAACCCAAAAGCAGATAAATGGAAAACATAAAGTATGTATTACAGGATTTTACTTCTTAAATTTTTTATTAAAACCAGTGCTTGCAGAGACATTCCATTTAGCAACTAGTTTGTTCCCTAAGATCTAGTAATTGATTCACAAGTCACAAGAAAGTAAATACAAATTTATCTAAATTGCGTTAAACTTTTCTTCTGTATCTTTCATCTGTCTATATTTAGCTTTTATTCTATGCATGTTTTTGAAAAATATTAATGACAAACAAATAGAAATAAAAATGCAGGGGTCTTTAAAGCCTTGGAATTATTGAACACTTATTATCATCCCACAGGGTATTAGTTATAGTCACATAACGTGCTATTGCAGTGCTCTGTAACATCCTATTGTGCACATAGTACCTGCTAAATAAACATTGCTTTAGTACATGTGCATATGTTGTTTTTCAATGCAGACTTACTCAGAAATTGCCGCTTTCTGTTTTCTCCGTAAGCTTTAAAGAGTCAGCAAAGAATGTAATACTTTTTATTTTTAATTTTTTTATAAGACGGGGTTTCACCAAGTTGGTCAGGCTGGTCTTGAACTCCCGACCTCAGGTGATCTGCCCGCCTTGGCCTGCAAAGTGTTTGGATTGAATGTAATACTTTTTGATGAAGAATGATTTCCTTTGTACCAGAAGTATTTGTGTTGTGACAAGAGTGCTGAGTGTAAGGGACTCTGTGCTGTGCCTCATTTCTCTGACTAATGCTAATAAGCCCAGCAGGAGCAACATCATTATCGACAGGGCACTTGTTTAAAAGACTCATTTATGGACCCTTTCCATACCTGCAGAATTACATTTCATAGAGTGGGGCCAAAATTACCAGGTGATTTATAAGCTCATTAGTGCTTGAGAGGAAATGCTTAGTTAAGGGTTTATCAGCCTTGGTTCTAATTAGTATCACCTGGCCATTTGCAGAACTCTCCTTACTTGTGTCCTTGCCATGGATTCTGTTTATTGCTCTGGGCGGAAGCATCCATGTTGTTTTAATTAAGTGCCTTGTGTGACTCTAAGGTGAGGCCAGAATCAAGTATGAGGAATTCAAAATACATTTATGAGAGTTACGTTCCCTCTTTGCATTAAAGGGTAGTCCTAGAACCTGTTCCGTTTGGATTTGGTAGGGACAGGACAGTGTGGCTCATATTTCCATTACTGTAGCAGAAATTACTGGTGTCTGTGTCAGGTGATGGCTCCTGAAGACAAAAATAGAGAAACATTTTTATCTCTATGGAGCAGCTCATTGTTTCTGAATCTCTTCTGCTATAAAGGATGGAAATGGGTTGAGTTTTTCTGTCTTCGTTCTTCTGCCTGTGGCTGTGGTGACAGCAGGTAGATCTGTGGTGCTCACACCTTTAAAGGCATATTCTCAAGATGGAGGTGTAATTTGTCCACATAATTTTATCTGAGAAAGAATCCTAGAAAAGGAGGAGAAGGGAAAAACATGGCTCCCTCCCCCCCAGCTAAACATGTCTCAGATCAGGAACTGTCTTCACTCTGCCTCCTGGGATGCCATGAGTTTAATACTTGCAAACCTTTACTTCTCTACCTGTGTTTTTCCTCCCTAATGAGTTTGTCTTAATTACTTTTAAAAATTCTTAGGGGCCGGGCGCGGTGGCTCAAGCCTGTAATCCCAGCACTTTGGGAGGCCGAGGCAGGTGGATCACGAGGTCGAGAGATCGAGACCAACCTGGTCAACATGGTGAAACCCCGTCTCTACTAAAATACAAAAAATTAGCTGGGCATGGTGGCACGTGCCTGTAATCCCAGCTACTCAGGAGGCTGAGGCAGGAGAATTGCCTGAACCCAGGAGGCGGAGGTTGCGGTGAGCCGAGATCGCGCCATTGCACTCCAGCCTGGGTAACAAGAGCGAAACTCCGTCTCAAAAAAAAAAAAAAAAAATTCTTAATGAATATAAATAAAAATAAAAGCAAATGAAAATTCTTAACGATAATCAAAGTCTCTGAAAAATATGTTTTTCTGTATACCAGAGCCTTCTCTACATTATGGCTTCTTATATGCCATGCAGAAATGTCACCATGAATTTATAATCTGCAATATTAAAAATGTTCTCTTTGCGGCTGTTGAACATGGGAAGGTGTGGATACTCAAGATTCCTATTGGGAAAAACCTGGGGTTTTTAGTGAAGACAGAGGACATATAATGTTGAGGTTTCATCTGTGTTCTTCATTGTGTCTATGCAGTGCAGGATTAAGAAAATGCTCACTGAAGCAGTATGGTATTTATTACCCAGAAAGTTCTAAAAAGTTATGAGGAGATACCTGCTCTCTAGGGTGCTAAAGAAAGACTATTTAAAATCACTATGAAAAATTACAGAACATAGGAGAGACCTGCAGTTTCCATAAAACTGATGTTTCCTTATGGTGAAGTTTAGATTATAATTTACTTTAGGGAGGGCAATATCTCAGAAGTAATGCTTGTCCTTCTGGGCACATCAGCACATCATAAACATTTTTTCTAGTGCATTTGATGTTAATAAATCACTTGGTTGATAAGCGCTCTGACAGATTTTTTTCACTATAGAATTATTTTTCTCTTCATCATTAAGTATCTCTTTATTTTTTAAAATTTTTATTTATTTATTTATTTACCCAGGCTGGAGTGCAATGGCGCAATCTCGGCTCACCACAACCTCCACCTCCTGGGTTCAGGCAATTCTCCTGCCTCAGCCTCCTGAGTAGCTGGGATTACAGGCACGCGCCACCATGCCCAGCTAATTTTTTGTATTTTTAGTAGAAACGGGGTTTCACCATGTTGACTAGGATGGTCTCGATCTCTTGACCTCGTGATCCACCCGCCTCGGCCTCCCAAAGTGCTGGGATTACAGGCATGAGCCACCGTGCCCAGCCTCAGCAAGTATCTTTATGCAGCTGTTGTGAATAAACCATCACATTTAATCTGGCAGCTACCGTTCTTTCTTAGGTTTCCTTTGCATTTTTCTGTTTTAGGAAAATGAAGGCTCTCATCTTTATTTACAGGCCAGAAAAACTGAGAAAAACACAGACTCATTCAATTACAGGCTGTTTGACAAAATAGTCTTTTTGTGACAAAAACATTGGCATACTGATCAGCTGGTTAGAAATTCAGCCACTCAGACTTTATCCCAGATCTTCTGAAAAAACAAAAACAAACAAAAAACAAAACTAAACTCAAAAACAAAAACTTGCATTAACGCGATCTCCAGTTTATTGTATTGTACACATTAAAATCTGAGTGATACCTTCTAACTCAGTAGGTCTGTTTTATCCAAATAATATACACAACTATGTCTTTTCCATCTGAAAAATACACACAACTAATTCTGTATAGCACTCAAAATTGTACATGTCGATGTTTATGCCCTCAGTTTTATGTTTTATTATCCAGAAAAGTATCATGTATACACTGATGTTATGGATGTAGTACCACTCTTTCAGAGTTAGAGAATACATTAGAGAATATTTCTGTGTTGAAAATTATTTTATTGAATAATTTCAGTCACTTATAAGAGTGACTGAATCTGTTCTCTTTACTCTTTCATTTTACCTTGAGTCAAATTAAAAATTCTGCCCATGACCACTTAGTAAATGTGTGTGTTTGTGTGTGTTTTTCAGGAACCATTAACATTTAAGGATGTGGCCATAGAATTCTGTCTGGAGGAGTGGCAATGCCTGGACACGGCACAGCAGGATTTATATAGGAATGTGATGTTAGAGAACTACGGAAACCTGGTCTTCCTGGGTGAGCATAACTTCAATATACAATTCCTAATATACCCTAAAGATTTCATTTTTCTTTTGAGGAATTTTTATTTTTTGGTAATTTATGCTTTTAGATTTCTGTTTTCAAGAAAATCATAGGGATTTTTCCATGTAGAAAACAATTTCTTCAGGATGTTTCATCGTGACCTAACCTTACCACATTCTTGAGCTGATCTGTGTCCTTCACTTTAGATCAGTGGTAATTGCAAAAGTTTACTGGGATAAAATATTGTTGCTCATACCTTAAAATCTAGTTGCCACCACCAATTTTTAATTCAGTAGTACCAGGTGATAAGAACTTACAAAATTAAAATATTTTCTAAATATTTAGAAATTTCTCTCATAAATTAGTATATTGGGATAAATGTATTAGAATATTCTATCATATCCTGTTTATTGAGCACATTACCGAGTTGGTAATTGGAGATTATGAGCAAGATGCATGTTACTCATTTTTAATAAAACAGGTATTGCTGTCTCCAAGCCAGACCTGATCACCTGTCTGGAGCAAAGAAAAGTGCCCTGGAATAGGAAGAGACATGAGATGGTGGCCAAACCCCCAGGTAAGTGGAGTGAATACAGCAGACAACAAGGATGAGCAGTCCAAAGTCAAGGAGAAAGCCAGTCCTTAAAGTGATTTGGGAAACTGTTCCAAAGGAAACAGTTTCTGGAAAGTCTAATTTGTATTTTTTTTTTTTTTTGAGAGGAGTTTCGCTCTTGTTACCCAGGCTGGAGTGCAATGGTGCGATCTCGGCTCACCGCAACCTCCACCTCCTGGGTTCAGGCAATTCTCCTGCCTCAGCCTCCTGAGTGGCTGGTATTACAGGCATGTGCCACCATGCCCAGCTAATTTTTTGTATTTTTAGTAGAAACGGGGTTTCACCATGTTGACCAGGATGGTCTTGATCTCTTGACCTTGTGATCCACCCGCCTTGGCCTCCCAAAGTGCTGGGATTACAGGCATGAGCCACCACGCCTGGCTGTATTTTTTTTTTTTCTTTAATTTTCCTCTAACGTAGGGACATCTTCTGTTGTATGCTTTTAAAATTTCTAAGAATTCTAATTTCTCTTCAGTAATCTTCCTTCAGCTTACAGTGACAGCCAAAGTACTGTTCATGTCATACAGGAAAGTGCACACTCTGACTTTTTTGTTTGTGTTTGTGGGTACACAGATATCTGCATCATTTTGAGATACTCCATGTTAAACTAAAGTTCTGAAGTGTGTGAGAGTAGTGGTTTCTGTTCCATTGTGGTTTTTTGTTTGTTGTTATTGTTTTTCTGAACATTTCATCCTGTTTTATTACTATAGTCTTGAAATATAGTTTGAGATCACATTGGACAATATGACACTTTAAAATTTATTTTTTGAATCAATAGACATAAAACATTTAAATTAATGTGCTTTCTATTTTTCATTGATAAATCTTTCACTTGAAATGTTATAGACCTCCTTGGTTAAATTTGTTCTTAGAAATTTATTATTTTAGTGCTATTGTAAATAAAATTGTTTATTTTATCAGATAGTTTGTTTTAAGTGCATGGAATTGTAACTTGTACGCTAATTTTATATTTTGCTAATTTACTGAGTGTTTGTAGTGTATTTATTAGTTTGAAAAGTTTTTTTTTTTTTTTTTTGATGGAGTCTCACTCTGTTGGCAGGATGGAGTGCAGTGGTGCAATCTTGGCTCACTGCAACCTCCGCCTCCTGGGTTCAAGCAATTCTCCTGCCTCAGCCTCCTGAGTAGCGGGCACTACAGGCACACACCACCATGCCCAGCTAAATTTTGTATTTATAATATAGATGGGGTTTCACCATGTTGGCCAGGATGGTCTCAATCTCTTGACGTCATCATCTACCTGCCTCAGTCTCCCAAAGTGCTTGGATGACAGGCATGAGCCACCACATTAAGAACCAAAGTCTGCAGGCCTGCCAGCATGGCTATAAATGAGTGTCTCTTTTGAAGCTTCTGAAAGTACAAGACCTCTCAGACTGTGGCTGGGAGGAGATTGGGATGCTTATAGAGTAAGTTCAAAATTCTCAGTGAGACCAAGTTGGGTGGGAGATTTCTTGGTCTGTAGCCCAGAACAGGGGTCCTGTAGTTTGCCACCTGAATGAAAGCCTGCCTTTTGGAAAGGATGCTCTTCAATCTTGAGCTTTAGCAGAGTGTCACAACTCCCTCCCTGCATCTCACAGCTGTCTTAATAAAGGCACTTATTTTTGAGATGGGGTCTTGCTACATAACACAGGCTGGTCTTAAAATTTTGGCTTAATTCTCCAACCTAACTGTACCATGTAGCTGTCATTACATGTGTTAACCATGATGCCTGGTTCTCTCATTGAGACATTTTTGTCATGGATGACTGATAAATTTTCTTGCTGTTGGGATAAGCAAATAGGGTACCTTTTATTTTTTCTTCTAAGAGTGTAACTGCTTTATATATCTATTTATCACATACATTCTTTTTCTTTTTTTGGTTGACTTATTTCATTTTGCATTATGTAATGAAGATTTATCTTTGTAGTTGGTAGAGTATTTTCTGCTTTTTGAAAACCAAGTGATATTTCAGTATTTTTATATTTCTTCAATTTATATTTACGAAATGATTTGGTGACAGAAATTTGCATTGCCTTTACCTATTAGCTTACAATAATAATGATTGATACGTAAATGATTCCACCTATGACAATATGTTAAAATGTATACAGTAGTTGCTACCTTTTTATTCTTTTTTGTTTTTGAGATGGAGTTTTACTCTTGTTACCTAGGCTGGATTTTTTTTTTTTTTTTTTTTTTGAGACAGAGTTTCGCTCTTGTTACCCAGGCAACAAGTGCAATGGAGTGATCTCGGCTCACAGCAACCTCTGCCTCCTGGGTTCAAGCAATTCTCCTGCCTCAGCTTCCCAAGTAGCTGGGACTACAGGCGTGTACCACCATGCCCAGCTAATTTTTTAATTTTTAGTAGAGACAGTGTTTCACCTTGTTGACCAAGATGGTCTCAATCTCTTGACCTCATGATCCACTCACCTCGGCCTCCCAAAGTGGTGGGATTATAGGCATGAGCCACCGCGCTGGGCCTACTTTTTTATTCTTATACTCATACCAGATTGTTTTAATTCTGTAGCTTTGTAATGTGTTTTGAAATCAGATACTTTAAGCCTGCGACATTTTTCTTTTTTCTTTTTCTAAGTTTCTTAGGTACTTTATTGTCTTTTGAGATTAAGTACTTTTGAGGTTGCTGTTTCTATTTCTTCAAAAATGCAATGAGAAATTTGAAAAACATGTTATTTTTATTTATTTATTTATTTATTTTGAGACTGAGTGTCACTCTTGTCACTGAGGCTGGAGTATAATGGCATGATCTTGGTCACTGCAACCCCACCTCCCTGGTTCAAGCAACTCTCCTGCCTCAGCCTCCCAAGAGCATAATAGTAGATGCTGGGATTGCAGGCGTGTGCCATTATGCTCTGATAATTTTTTTGTGTTTTTAGTGGAGACGGGGTTTCACCATGTTGGCCAGGCTGGTCTTGAACTCCTGACCTCTGGTGATCTCCACTTGCCTCAGCCTCCCAAATTTCTGGGATTACAGGGGTGAGCCACCATGCCCGGCTGGAGAAACATGTTATTAAATCTGTAGATTACATTGAGCAGAATGAATATCTTTACAATATTAACTATTACAGTTTTTGCATAAGAGCATGAGTGAGTGTTTTGTGAAATTCCTATATTTTTTTTTCAATTTTTTTCCTATTATTGTTGTATTCTCTCATTACAGTCTAGTCATAAAAAATAATTCATAACATTTCAGTTTTCAAAAATGTGATAAGACTTCTTTTTTGGCTTAAGAGGTGGCCTATCGAGAAACATGTATGAGCTACTGAGGAGGGTGTGTATCCTGATGTTGAGTGTTCTCTATACCTCTGTTAGAAATAGTTGTTTTATACCACCTTCAAGTAGTCTGTTTTCTTACTAATATGCTGTTTTCTTTGATTTTTATTACAGAAAGTTTGGTATAATAATATCCTACTGGTTGGGCATGGTGGCTCATGCCTGTAATCCCAGCATTCTGGGAGGCTGAGGCAGGTGGATCACCTAAGGTCAGGAGTTTGAGACCAGCCTGGTCAACATGGTGAAACCCCATCTCTACTAAAAAACACAAAAAGTTAGCCAGGTGTGGTGGCTGGTGCCTGTAATCTCAGTTATTCGAGAGGCTGAGGCAGAAGAATCGCTTGAACCCACTAGACAGAGGTTGCTGTGAGTCAAGATCATGGCCCTGCACTCCAGCCTGGGCAACAGAGTGAGAGTGTGTCTCAAAAAAAAAAAAACCTACTGTAATTATGTTGCTTTCTATGTGTTTCTTTTATTCTGTCAATATTTGCTTTATATATTTGTAATCCTAATGTGAGACACAGACACACACACACACACACACACACACACACAGACGTCTACACAAATATGTATATACAAATTTATCATAGGTTCCCAGTTAATGAATCTATTATTTTTTGATATCTTTCTTTGTCTCTTTGGAGTTTCAATGTCAAATGCATTTTATAAAATACAAGTTTTTGACTTAAGATTTAGCTTGAGCTCTTCTGCTCTCATTTAATTAATACTTGCACGAAATGTCTACTTCCATCTTGCTACTTTGAGTCTTTTTTTTTTTTTTTTTTTTTTTTTTTGAGAAGGAAAGAAAAAAAAAAGTAAGTAAAGGAGAGGAAGAGAAAGAGGGAGAGTAAATGGAAATATTGCTTTATTTTGAAAAAAATTGGGTATTAATAATGGCCAATCAATGTTTCATTTAAACTTATGGGTAGGTGTGATGTGGTATTGACAAGAATGTATATTTTGTGTATTTGAAGTGGAGAGCTCTATAAATATTTATTAAGTTTACTTGTTCTGGATCTGAGTTCGAGTCCTTGATATCCTTATTAATTTTCTGTCTCATTGAATCTAAGTCTCCTATCTGGGTGTTAGGATCGTTAGCTCTTGTTGTTGCATTGATCCTTTTACCACTATATCTTTGTTGCTTTAAAATCTATTTTATCCGATACAAGAATTGCAACTCCTGCTTTTTATTTATTTATTATTTATTTTTGCTCTCCATTTGGTTGGTAAATCTTTCTCCATCCCTTTGTTTTGAGTCTTTGTGTATCCTTGCATGTGAAACAGGTCTGGATGTAACATGCCGTTGGGTTTTGGCTGTGTCTTTTGATTGGGAATTTAGTCAATTTAAATTTAGTGTTACTGCCATTTGATGTTAACTGGCTGTTTTATCCATTTGTTGGTGTAAATTCTTCTTTATGTTGGTGCTCTTTACTTTTTGGTGTATTTTTAGAAAGGCTAATACTGGTTGTTTCTTTCTGTGTGTAATGCTTCTTTCAGAAGCTCTTGTAAAGCAGGCCTGGTGGTAATAAAATCTCTGAGTTCTTGCTTGTTCATAAAAGATTTTATTTTTCCTTCAGTTGTGAAGCTTAGTTTGGCTGGATATGAAATTCTGGGCTGAAGGTTCTGTTCTTTGAGGATGTTGAATATTGGCCCCCACTCTCTTCTGGCCTGTAGAGTTTCTGCTGAGAGATCTGCTGTAAGTCTGATAGGCTTGCCTTTGTGGGTAATCTGACCTTTCTCTCTGGCTGCCCTTAGTATCTTCTCCTTTGTTTCAACCCTGGTGAATCTAACGATTATGTGCCTTGGGGTTGCTCTTCTTGAGGAATATCTTGTGGTGTTCTCTATATTACCTGGGGTTGAATGTTGACCTGCTTTGCTAGTTTAGGAAAATTTTCCTGAATAATATCCTGAAGGGTATTTTCCAGCTTGGATTCATTCTCTCTGTTGCATTCAGGTACACCTATCAAACGTAAATTTGGTCTTTTCACATAGTCCCACATTTCTTGGAGACTTTGCTCATTCCTTTTTATCCTTTTTTCTCTAATCTTTTCTTCACGTTTTATTTCATTAAGTTGGACTTTGACCTCTGATATCCCTTCTTCTGCTTGAACAATTCTTCAAGTATTGTATTCTTGTATACAACAATTCTGCTTGTATTGTATTCTTCAGTTCCATTAATTCACTCATACTCCTCTCTAAGTTGTCTATTCTCAATAGGATTTCATCAAACCTTTTTTCAAAGTTCCTAGTTTCTTTACGTTGGGCTACAACATGTTCTTTTAACTCACCGAAGTTTGTTATTATCCATTCCTTGAAGAGTGATTCTGTCATCAGGATGCGCTTGTTCTCCATCAAGCCTTGTTCCATTGTTGATGTGGAATTGTGATCATCTTTAGAGGGAGAGGCGTTCTGACTTTGAGTATTCTCAGCTTTTTTACGCTGGTTTCTTCCCGTCATTGTAAATTTATCCTCCTGTCGTCTTTGAAATTACCAACTTTCAGATTAGGTCTCTTGAGTGGACGTCCAGGTTGTTAGTTCCCAGGGCCAGAGCAGCGGCGTTAAAACTGATGGTGCTTTTCTGCCCAGGATTCTCCTGTCGGGCTTCCATAGTAAGCGACTCTGCCTTCCCGGGGCTCCAAACCTCGGTCAGAAGGGGAACCGTTCCCGTTTACTCTGCGCGGAGCGCTGCCGCCTCGAGGTGCTGGCGGAACCGCTGCGCCGACCACGAGAGTCGCGCTGGCGACTCGTGTGTTTCCACCACTGGGGGATCTTCTGCTTCGTGAGCGACCAGACTTTGTCTGAAAGTGTGGCGTCCTCTAGTTCTCCGCACCTTCCCTGAGAGCTGCAATCCCGGGATGTTAGCGATTGGCCATCTTGGATCGTTCTCCCTTTTTTTTTTTTTTTAATCATTAGACTTCAACTGACTCTTGTAGAAAGGCAAGTTGGATCTTGATATTTAAAGTTTTCTAACAGGCTGGGTGTGGTTGCTCATGCCTGTAATTTCAGCACTTTGGGAGGCTGAGGTGAGTGGATCACCTGAGTTCAGGGGTTCCAGACCAGCCTGGCCAACATTGTGAAATCAGATCTCTACTAAAAATACACAAATTAGCTGGGCGTGGGGGCAGATGCCAGTAATCCCAGCTACTTGGGAGTCTGAGGCAGGAGAATTGCTTGAACCCTGGAGGTAGAGGTTGCAGTGAGCTGAGATAACACCATTGCACTCTAGCCTGGGCAAGAAGAGCAACACTCTGTCTCACAAAAAAAAAACCAAAAAACAAATTTTAATCTATTAAAAGCATATATGTTGATCTGAAAGTTAATTTTCTAGGCTGTGCATGGTAGCTCATGCCTTTAATCCCAGCACTTTGGGAGGCCGAGGCGGGTGGATCACGAGGTCAAGAGATCAAGACCATCCTGGTCAACAAGGTGAAACCCCATCTCTACTAAACATACAAAAATTAGCTGGGCATGGTGGTGCGGGCCTGTAGTCCCAGCTACTCGGGAGGCTGAGGCAGGAGAATTGCCTGAACCCAGGAGGCAGAGGTTGCAGTGAGCCGAGATCATGCCATTGCACTCCAGTCTGGGTAACAATAGTGAAACTCCATCTCAAAATAATAATAATTATTATTATTATTCCTATGCTTTTATCTCTCAAATGTTAAAGAATACTTAAAAATGTTTTCTGCACCCTTTGAATAATGCTAGAAATCCAATTTTTGGTATGTGCATTTCTTTTCTAAAAAATAAGGTATTTTTATATGATTAGGTGTTATTTTCTTGAATCATGTTATTTTCAGTGGTAAGAAGTGCTTTCAGCATTTCTCCTATGAAGAAACATATGTAATGCCAATGTACTTTTTAAGAATTTGGTTATTTTGAAGTTTTATTTCTTTATTTTTTATTTTAGGCAGGATAGATTTGCTGATGGTATTATTATTTATTTATTTTTTTTTACTTTGACTATATTACGTGGTTCTCTTCTGGCCTGAAAGTATTTTGTTGACAGTTCACTGGTTATCTCATAAGACTATATTTGCAAATGACATGTCACTTTTATCTTTCAGCTCTCAAGTATCTCTTTTTGTCTGTAACTTTGAAATTCTGATAATAGGGCCAGGTATGGTGGCTCATGCCTGTAATCCAAGCACTTTGGGATGGCCGAGGCAGATGGATCACAAGGTCAGGAGTTCAACACCAGCCTGGTCAATATGGTGAAACCCCGTCTCTATTAAAAAAATACAAAAATAGCCAGGCATGGTGGCGGGTGCCTATAGTCCCAGCTACCTGGGAGGCTGAGGCAGGAGAATTGCTTGAACACGGGAGGCAGAGGTTGCAGTGAGCCAAGATCATGCCACTGCACTCCAGCCTAGGCAACAGAGTGAGACTCATCTCACAAAAAAAGAAAAAAATGAAATTGTGATTATAAATATGTTTTTGTTACCAATGTCTTTGTAAGTATCCTAATTTGTTTTTGAGCTTTTTCATGTTTACATCATTTTTTCTTAATTTTAGAATTGTTCTTTCTTTTTGTATTTTTTACCACCACAATTTAAATATATTTGTTTTATCATCTTTCTGATTTTCAAGTCATCTGTTTTCCTGTTTTAATTATTATTCAATTTTTTAAATTAGTATATACATTTTTAATGATTTCTTTCTGAAAATTTTATAGTATTTTTGATGAGATTATATTGCCCTAGTTTGTATAGATTGTACTGTTTCAGATTTGGACATTTAAAAAGGCTACCTGTCACAAAATTTACAATGTAGCTTTGTCCTGGCATAGTCAGAAAACAGTGGTCTTGGCTGGAGATATGGGAGTCTCTTGAACATCATCTTCAGGTTTAACCTGTCTGAAATTTCGTGTTTACTTCTAGCTAAAGGAGATTATGTTTCTTCCGAAAAGGAAGTAATCACTTGTGACACGTGTTCTCTCTCTGCAGCACTGCAGTGCTCTTCTGCAGTGGCCTAATTTGTTATTTTATTTCTTTTCAGTTGCATGTTTTTATTTTGCCCAAGATCTTTGGTCTCAGCTGACTCAAACTCTCATTTCAAAGTATATTACCATTTCTTTCAGCACTTTATGTCATGGGAGACAGAAACAGTGTGAAAAGGCCCATTGAAACCAGAAATTAAGTTGTATATGCCAATATTTTTCTTGTCTTTTAAGAAAGAAACCAGAAGTTTACCACTTACTTCTAAAGAAACTATGTAATATTACGAAGCAGAAAGTGTTGTGTTGGGTAAATGTAAGAAACTTTTATTTTTTCTATGTGGATTTTTGCATTGAACTCACTTTAGGCGCTGCACACACTTAACTCATAAATTATGTACATATGTATTTTGGTTTGTATGCTTTCTGTGTGTCGGGGGGCAACAGAGTTTTGCTCTTGTTGTCCAGGCGGGGGTGCAATGGCACGATCTTGGCTTACGACAACCTCCTCCCGGGTTTAAGCAATTGATTCTCCTGCCTCAGCCTCCTGAGTAGCTGGGATTAGAGGCATGTGCCACCACACCTGGCTAATTTTCTATTTATAGTAGAGACAGGGGTTCTTCATGTTGGTCAGGCCGGTCTCAAACTCCTGATCTCAGGTGATCTGACCACCTTGGTCTCCCAAAGTGCTGGGATTACAGATGTGAACCACCATGCCCAGCTGGTATGTATGTTTTTATAACACTTACGTGTCTCTGAAGTAGTTAGGGCCTGTGGTATATTGCAATGTCATCTCATTTTTGTGGATTGAATAATTTTATTGGTTAGATTTATAAAATATATTCATCTGAGTCTAATAAGTGGACTAATTTGTTATTTTTATTTCTTTTCAGTTGTATGTTCTTATTTTGCTCAAGACCTTTGGCTAGAGCAGGGCGTAGAAGATTCTTTTCAAAAAGTGATATTGAGAAGACATGGAAAATGTGGACATGAGAATTTGCAGTTAAAAATTTGTTGCACCAATGTGGATGAGTCTCAAGTTCACAGAAAAGGTTATAATAATCTTAACCAGAGTTTGACAACTGCACAGAGCAAAGTATTGCAATGTGATAAATATGCCAAAGTCTTTCATAAATTTTCAAATTCAAACAGACACAAGATAAGGCATACTGGAAAGAAACTTTTGAAATGTAAAGAAGATGACAGATCATTTTGCATGCCTTCACACCTATCTCCACATAAAAGAATTTATACTAGAGAGAATTTCTTCAAATGTGAAGAATGTGGCAAAACCTTTAATTGGTCCTCAATGCTTACTTATCATAAGAGAATTCATACTGGAAAGAAAGCCTACAAACGTGAAAAATGTGGCAAAGCCTTCAACTGGTCCTCAAGACTTACTGAACATAAGAGAGTTCATGCTGGAGAGAAACCCTACAAATGTGAAGAATGTGGCAAAGCTTTTAATCAGTCCTCAACCCTTACTAAACATAAGAGAGTTCATGCTGGAGAGAAACGTTACAAGTGTGAAGAATGTGGCAAAGCTTTCAGCTGGTCCTCAAAACTTACTAAACATAAGAGAGTTCATGCTAGAGAGAAACCCTACAAATGTGAGGAATGTGGCAAAGTGTTCACCTTGTTTTCAACCCTTATGGAACATAAAAGAATTCATACTGGAGAGAAACCCTACAAATGTGAAGAATGTGGCAAAGTGTTCACCTGGCCCTCAAGCCTTATGAAACATATAAGAATTCATACTGGAGAGAAACGCTACAAATGTGAGGAATGTGGTGAAGCCTTCAACTGGCCCTCAAGCCTTTCTAAGCATAAGATAATTCATACTGGAGAGAAACCCTACAAGTGTGAAGAATGTGGCAAAGCTTTTAATCGATTTGGAATTTTTACTAAACATAAACTAATTCATGCTGGAGATAAACCCTACAAATGTGAAGAATGTGGCAAAGCTTTCTCCTGGGCCTCAAGCCTTAGTGAACATAAGAGAAATCATACTGTACAGTACCCCTACAGATGTGAAGAATGTGGCAAAGCCTTTAAAAAGTCCTCATTTCTTACTAGACATAAGGTAATTCATGCTGAAGAGAGACCCTACAAATGTGAAGAATGTGGCAAAGGTTTTAATCGATTTGGAATTTTTACTAAACATAAACTAATTCATGCTGGAGAGAAACCTTACAAATGTGAAGAATGTGGCAAAGCTTTTAACCAGTCCTCAACCCTTACTAAACATATGGTAATTCATAGTGGAGAAAAACCCTACAAATGTGAAGAATGTGGCAAAGCTTTTAACCAGTCCTCAACCCTTACTAAACATATGGTAATTCATATTGGAGGAAAACCCTACAAATGTGAAGAATGTGGCAAAACTTTTAATCGATCCTCAACCCTTACTAAACATAAGAGAGTTCATGCTGGAGAGAAACTTTACAAATGTGAAGAATGTGGCAAAGCTTTTAACCGGTCCTCAAACCTTACTAAACATAAGATAATTCATGCTGGAGAGAAACCCTACAAATGTGAAGAATGTGGCAAAGTGTTCACCTGGTCCTCAAACCTTACAGAACATAAAAGAATTCATACTGGAGAGAAACCTCACAAATGTGAAGAATGTGGCGAAGCCTTCACCTGGTTCTCAAGCCTTTCTCATCATAAGATAATTCATACTGGAGAGAAACCCTACAAATGTGAAGAATGTGGCAAAGCTTTTAATCGATTTGGAATTTTTACTAAACATAAACTAATTCATGCTGGAGAGAAATTCTACAAATGTGAAGAATGTGGCAAAGTGTTCACCTTGTCCTCAACCCTTACGGAACATATAAGAATTCATACTGGAGAGAAACCCTACAAATGTGAAGAATGTGGCAAAACTTTTAAACGGTCTTCAACCCTTACTTATCATAAGAGAATTCATACTAGAGAGAAATTCGACGAATGTGAAGAATGTGGCAGAGCCTTTACCAAGTCTTCAAGCCTTTCTAATCATAAGAAAATTCATACTGGAGAGAAACCCTACACATGTGAAGAATGTGGCAAAGCTTTTAATCAATTCTCAGTTTTTACTAAACATAAGATAATTCATGCTGGAGAGAAACCCTAAAAATGTGGAAAATGTGGCAAAGCCTTCACCTGGCCCTCAAGCTTTAGTGAACACAAGAGATATCATAAACCCCTCCAAATGTAAAGAATGTGGCAAAGTCTTTAAAAAGTCCTCACTTCTTACTAGACATAAGGTAATTCATACTGAAGAGGAACCCTACAAATGTAAAGAATGTGGCAAAGCTTTTAACCAGTCATCAACCCTTACTCATCATAGGAGAATTCATATTGGAAAACCCTAGAAATGTGAAGACGGTGGCAAACCTTTTAACTGTTCCTCAATTCTTACTAAACATAAGGTAATTCATACTGGAGGGAATCCCTATGTGGATTCCCTAAGTATGTGGAATGTGTGAAAGCCTTTAAGTAGTCCTTGACATTTACTACATATAAGACAACTCATACTGGAAAGAAACCCTACACATGTGAAGAATGTGGGAAAGCCTCTAACGGATCCTCAATTCTTAACAGACATAAGATAATTTATACTAGGGAAATTACAAACCTGAAAGATGTGACAATGCTTTTGGCAACACCTCACACTTTTCTAAGTATAAAAGTAATCATACTGATGAGAAATCCTAGAAATGTGAAGAATGTGATAAAGCTTTCAAATGGCTGTCACACTTGATTGGAGAAAACTACTAATGTGAACAATGTGGTAAATATTTACCCAGTGCTTACACCTTATTGCACAGGAAAGCATTTATACTTGAGAACAAATCTTCAAATATAAAGAAAGTGTAGGCCATGCATGGTGGCTCATGCCTGAAATCTGAGCACTTTGGGAGGCTGAAATGGGCAGATCCCTTGAGGTCAGGAGTTCAAAACCAGCCTGGCCAACATGGCAAAACCCAACTTTACTAAAAATGCAAATAAATTAGCCAGTCATGGTGGCAGGCACCTGTAATCCCAGCTACTCTGAAGGCCGAGGCAGGAGAATCGCTTGAATCCAGGAGGCACAGCTTGCACTTAGCCAAGATTGCACTACTGCACTCCAGCTTGGACTACAGGGAGAGACTCTGTCTAAAAAAAAAAAAAAAAAGGCAGTGTGAAAGTCATTAATATCTGCTCACATTCAACATCAGAGAGTTTATGCTAAATAAAAGCATTAAAAATGCAATTACTCTCAAAAGATCTTTCAGAAATATAAGGCCTTAAAGTGCAGAAGAATGTTTATTCTCAACAGAAACATCACAAATATAAAGAGGGTTGTAGTCCTTTTACTTCTATCACAGAATTTATTGTTCACACTTGGTACTAAAGGAGACCCCTGAGGCAGTTGTTCCCACTTTGTTTAACATCAGGGAATTTATATAATTAGGAAAAATATTTTTTTCAAAAACTACAGATTATAAAACACCAGAGAGTTTATACTAAAATATATTTTTGTGGATACAGTATATATTTAAAAAATTAATCCAATATTAAGTTCATGTAAGTATTAGGGCAGTCACAGTAGAAATATCTGTCTCTCAGACGTCAGACATTACACTAAATCAAATTGCTGAGTATAGTAAAAAATCCAAAAATAAAGTTGATAGAAAACTTATTTGTATTTAACTTTAAAAGAACTAGATCTTGGTCAGGCTCCGAGGCTCACACCTGTAATTCCAACACTTTGGGTGGCCAAGGCATGTGGATCTCAAGGTCAGAAGTTCAAGACCAGCCTGGCCAAGACAGTGAAAATGTACTTTTAAAAACTACAAAAATTAGTTGGGTGTGGTGGCAGGTGCCTGTAATCCCAGCTGCTCAGGAGGCTGAGACAGGAGAATCGCTTGAACCTGGGAGGTGGAGGTTGCAGTGAGCCATGGTCGTGCCACTGCACTCCAGCCTGGGTGACAGAGAGTTTGTCTGAAAAAAAAAAAAAAAAATCTTTGAAGAGTTATATTTAGCATACTTTTTTTTTTTAGATATACATTTTTTTTTGGGCCAGACACAGTGGCTCACGTCTGTAAGGCCAACACTTCAGGATGCTGAGGTGGGCAGATCACTTGAGGTCAAGAGTGAAAGACCAGTGTGCCCAACATGGTAAAACCCCACCTCTACTAAAAAGTAATACAAAAATTACCTGGACTTGGTGGTGCACACATGTAGTTCCAGCTACTTGGGAGGCTGAGACATGATAATCCCTTGAACCTGGGAGGTGGAGGTTGCAGTGAGCTGAAATTTTGCCACTGCACTGCAGCCTGGGTGACAGAGCAAGACTGTCTGAAGGACAAAAAAAAAAAAAAAATATATATATATATATATATATATATATATATATAGTTTGGAAACTGAAAAATGATGGAATTCAACTTTAAATTACTTCATGCTGTTTCTTTATTTCTATTGTATTCACATATAAAACCATGTGATTAATTCTTGGACCAAAGAATTGGGAGACTCTTTATTAGGTGGTCATTATTTATGACATCTCTTATTTTTTTTTTTTTTTTTTTTGAGACGGAGTTTCGCTCTTGTTACCTAGGCTGGAGTGCAATGGCATGATCTCGGCTCACCGCAACCTCCACCTCCTGGATTCAAGTGATTCTCCTGCCTCAGCTTCCCGAGTAGCTGGGACTACAGGCGCGTGCCATTATGCCCAGCTAATTTTTTTTGTATTTTTAGTAGAGATGAGGTTTCACCATGTTGACCAGGATGGTCTCTATCTCTTGACCTTGTGATCCACCTGCCTCACCCTCCCAAAGTGCTGGGATTATAGGCGTGAGCCACCATGCCTGGCAATAAAACTACATTTTACTGTCTCTAGTATTCTTTGCCAGTGGCAAATAAGTTAAATCATGGTTCCTGTAGGTTAATCTTTTTCTTTTACATTTAAATTGATTTTTCTTAGTTTTTGTGTGTACCTAATATGTGTATATATTTATGTTATATATGGTATATTTTGATACAGTCATACAATTTATAGTAATCACATTAGGGTAAATAAAGTACTTATAACCTCTGGCTTTTATGGTTTTCATTACAGACAATTCTGCAGTCTTAGTTACTCTGAAATGTGCACTGAAATTCTTACTGACTACAGCATCATTTTTATGGTCATTATAAAACTTATACAAGCATAAATAAAATCAATATACACTCAAACCAATAGTGTGCAAGCAATTTTTTAAATTCACATTTCTACCAACACTTATTTCTTCTTAATTAGTGTCATTCTAACAAGTGATATTGCCTAGTTTTTATTTGGCTTGCCTTTCCCTGATAATAGACAGTGATTATTTTTTGAATGATCCATTGGCCACATGTATGTCTTTTTTTGAAAAATATGTAAGCCTTTATCTCATTTTTAATAGTTTTTTTATTTTATTATTTTTTTAAATTTAAAGATAGGGTTGGGCTGGGCACGGTGGCTCACGCCTGTAATCCCAGCACTTTGGGAGGCTGAGGCCGGTGGATCACAAGGTCAAGAGATCAAGACCATCCTGGTCAACATGGTGAAACCTGTCTCTACTAAAAATACAAAAAATTAGCTTCGCATGGTGGCATACGCCTGTAATCCCAGCTACTCAGGAGGCTGAGGCAGGAGAATTGGCTGAACCCAGGAGGCGGAGGTTGTGGTGAGCCGAGATTGCACCATTGCACTCCAGCCTGGGTAACAAGAGTGAAACTCTGTCTCAAAAAAACAAAAATAATAAAATAAAGATGGGGTTTCACCATGTTGGTCAGGCTGGTCTTGAACTCCCGACCTCAGGTGATCCGCCCCCCCTTGGCCTCCAAAGTGCTTGAATTACAGGCATGAGCCACTACACCCAGCCTAATTTTTGTATTTTTAGTAGAGATGGGGTTTCACCATTTTGGCCAGGATGGTCTCGAATTCTTGACCTTACGATTCATCCACCTCAGCCTCCCAAACTGCTGGGATTGCAGGTGTGTGCCAGCATGCCTGGTCTATATAGTTTTGATATTAATCCCCATCACATACAATCCTGTTGATTGTATCCTATTCTCTGCAGGAGCTTTTTAATTTAAAACAATCTGATTTATCTATTTTACATTTTGTTCTTTAGGATTTAAAGTCAAATTTTAAAAGTCACTGCCCAACCAATGTTAAAGGGCTTTCAGTGTGTGTTTTTTTTCTAGTAGTTTCAGAGTTTTAGACCTTACGTTTAAGTATCTAATGTATTTTGTGTTGATTTTTATATATGATGTTAGTTGAGTCTCATTTTATTCCTCTGCATCTGGATATAAAATTTTCTCAACACCATTTATTGAAAATATTGCCTTTTTTCTAAGAAATTGCCATCTTTATTTAAAATCGGTTGACTGTAAATGTATCAATATATTTCTGGTCTCTTTTTTCTTCTCTATTGGCCTGTGTGTCGGTTTTTATTCAAGTACCATACTGTTTTTTTGTTTATATTTTTCTAACTAGAGCTTTGTAGTATGTTTGAAAAGTACAGTGATACCTTCACTTTTTCTATTGCTTTATTGCTTGATTGCTTTGGCTATTCAGGGTCTTTTGTGATACCATAGAAATTTTAGATTTTTTTTTTTTGAGACGGAGTTTCACTCTTGTTACCCAGGCTGGAGTGCAATGGTGCGATCTTGGCTCACCTCAACCTCCACCTCCTGGGTTCAGGCAATTCTCCAGCCTCAGCCCCCTGAGTAGCTGGGACTACAGGCATGTGGCACCGTGCCCAGCTAATTTTTTCTATATTTAGTAGAGGTGGGGTTTCACCATGTTGACCAGGATGGTCTCGATCTCTTGACCTCGTGATCCACCCGCCTTGGCCTCCCAAAGTGCTGGGATTACAGGTGTGAGCCAAAGGGCCGGCCCTAGATTTTTTTTTTAATTTGTTAATTATGTCACTGGTATTTTGATAGAGGTTGTATCATATCTGTACACCATTTTGTATAAGATAGACATTTAACAATATTAGTAATGTTGAGTTATGAAGGTAGTATTTTTCCAATTGTGTATCAGTTTTTTGTTTGTTTGTTTGTTTTGAGATGGAGTTTTGCTGTTGTTACCCAGACTGGAGTGTAATGGCACAATCTCGGCTCACTGAAACCTCCGCCTCCTGGGTTCAAGCAATTCTCCTGCCTCAGCCTCCCCAGTAGCTGGGACTACAGGCGAGCACCACCATGCCCAGCTAATTTTTGTATTTTTAGTAGAGACGGGGTTTCACCTTGTTGACCAGGATAGTCTCAATCTCTTGACCTCGTGATCCATCCGCCTCGGCCTTCCAAAGTGCTGGGATTATAGGTGTGAGCCACCGCGTCTGGCCCCGTTTTTTAAATATATATATATTTTTTGAGATAGAGTCTCACTCTGTTGCCCAAGCTGAAGTGCGATGGTGCAATCTCAGCTCACTGCAACCTCCACCTCCCAGGCTCAAGCAAATTCTGCCTCGGCCTCCCGAGCAGCTAGAATTACATGAGCACACCAACACGCCCAGCTAATTTTTGTATTTTAGTAGAGATGGGGTTTCACCATGTTGGCCGGGATGGTCTCTATCTCTTGATCTCATGATCCACCCACCTCGGCCTCCCAAAGTGTTGGGATTACAGACGTGAGCCACCTCGCAGGCTAAATTTTATTTTGAGATAGTTGTCCGTGGATAGAAATGCTACAAACACTTGGTTGTTGCTTTTGTATCCACCAGTTCGGTGAGTTTATTTTTCCCAGTAATGTTTAGTAATATCTTAGGCTTTTGTTTACTTACGATTATGTGTAGGAATAAAAGACACAGGAATAATTTAACATTTTTTTCTACTCTGGGTACTTTGATTTTCTAATTTCTCTAGGATATTTAGTACTGTGTTTAATAAGACTGAAGAAAGTGGGCATTTTGGTCTTGTTCTTGCTCTTATAGTAAAAGCTTACACTATTTTTCTGTTTAGTATTTTATTAGCTGTGCTTTTTTGGTTGTATGTGGCATTTATTGGCTCGAGGTCTGTTTTCCTATACCTACTATTTTCAGAAATTTATTATGAAGGAATGTTGAATTTCATTAAACTTTTATTCTGTATTTATTTAAATGTTAGAGATGCAAAATCACATCTAATTCTGCATAGATTTTAAAAAAAGATCCTCAGAGACTTCTATGAATATGCCTGCAAAATAGAAAATTTAGAGAAAATAGATAAACTTGTGGATACACACAACTTTCCTAGATTGAATCAGAAAAAGATAGAAGTCTTTAACAGAGCAAAAATGTATAATGACGTTAAATAAGTATTAATAAACCTACTAACGATGAAAAACCCTAGATCATATAAAAATCACAGCCAAATTTTACCACATATACAAAGATAGGCTGGTCCTAATCCTACTGAATGTATTCCAAAAAGTCAAGGTGGGATTTCACCCTAACTCCTCGTATGAAATCAGTGAACTATATAAAACCAAAATCTAGAGAAGAAAAAAAGAAAACTGCAAGCCAATATTTTGGGTAAACATTGGAAGATCAATCTCATTGAATACTAGCAAACTGAGTTCCAAAGCAAGTCAGAAAGTTATTTTACTGCAATCCTGTAAGCGTTATTCCATAAATATAGGTACGTTTTATCATATGCAAGTAAATTAGTGTGATTCACCATGTAAAGATAATTAAGAGAAAAAAATATTAAACACAATAGGGGCAGTTAAAGCATTCAAGTAAATCCAATATTGACTCACAAAATTGTTCTCAACACACTAGACATTTTTGAAACATACCTCAAAATAATAAGAGCCATCTATGACAAATCCTTAGCCAACATGTTACTACAAAAGCAAAAGCTGGATGCATTCTCCATAAGAAAAATAAGACAAAAATATCCATTCTAAACGGTCCTATTAAACATAGTTATGAAAGTCCTAACCAGAGTAATGCAACAAAATAAATAAAAGGAATCCAAATGGAAAACAAAGTAAAATTACCTGTATTGATACAATTCTCTACCTAGAATAGTTTAAAGATTTCACCAGTTCTCCACTCCGTTTCCCCACTCCCCTCCTCCCTCGCCTCCCCACAAAAAAAAAAGAAAAAAAAGATTTCATCAAAAGACTTCTAAGCCTAAAAAAAGACTTAAAACAAATCTCAGAATACAAAATCAACACAAATGCATAGCATTTCTGTACACCAATAATATTGAAGCTGAGAACAAAATGTATAAAAAATTATATTTACAATAGCCACAAAAAATTCTAGACATACATTAAATCAATAAATTTAATGTAAGTTTATTACATTAAATTTTATAAATTTTTGCTTCTGCACAGTAAGATAAACTATCAACAAAGTAAACTGATGACGTATAGTATGAAATAAAATATTTGCAAACTGCAGAAAATAAAGGATTAATATGCAGAATGCATAAAAATTTTTATTAAAAAGCAAATGATATGAATAGGCTTTTCTCGAAGACAGAGCTGCCAATAAATATGTAAAGTTGCTCAACATTTCTAATTATTAGAAAGATGTAAATAAAAGTGACAATATAATACCATTTCACATCAGTAAGAATGACTGTCAGTAAAAGTTAAGAAAAAGAGGTTGAAGTTATGGAGAAAAGGAAATCTTCCTACACTGTTGGTGGGAATGCAAATTAATTTAGCCCCTGTGCTAAGCAGTTTGGAGATTTCTCAAAGTACTAAAAATAGAATTGCCAGTGTATCAATCAACCCCACTGCAGGGATTCTACCCCCAAAATAATTTTGATAAAGAGACACCTGCACTCATATGCTTATTGCAGCACTATTCACAATAGTAAAGACAATCAAACCAGTTACCCAGGAATCTTTTCATTGGATAAGAAAGATGAAGTACTCATACACCCTCTGATATGCAGCAACAGAAGACAATGAATTAATGTCTTTTGCAGCAACACGAATGCAGCCGAAGGCCATTATTTTAATCAAATTAATGCATCAGAAAAACATGCCGCATATTCTCATACATCTATGCTAAAAATTGGATAGGCAAAAACAATGAACACTGGGAATTCTAAAAAGAAGGAAGGGAGACACGCATTGAAATCTACTTAGGTATGATGTACACTACTTGGGCAATGAAATTATTAAGTGCCCAAACCTCAACACCATGTAGTATTCCTGTTACACAGATCTGCACATGTACCACTTAAATGTAAAATAAAAATAAAATGCTTTTTGGTATAACGACATGTTCTATTTCTCCAGTTCTGGGTTAATAGTTGAAATTAGGGCTGAAAGACACATTTTCACCCCTTAAAGCATAGGGGTAAATATTTCTATACCAGGTCTCCCACGTTTTATAAGCTAACCTCTCTGAAAGCTCTTGGTCTATAGCCCAAAAAGAGTTTTATTTTCAAGTGTGCAGCTAAAATAAACTATATCTTTACTATTTATGTATTAACTGTACACTAGACTATTGATTTAATTTATTTAATCTTTTTGGGGGAAAAGCAGCAAGTGGTTTAATCACTTTTTTTTTTTAGAATGAACCACTTTTGAAAGTGTGAGACTGTAAAAACTATGCTAAATTACTGAGTTAAAAAAATTTTTTAAAAAGCAAAGATATCTTATGATCATATTCCAAAAATAATAAAACAGAAAGTGCGTATTATTTAAGACCACAGTGCTGCAAATGCTCATTCCATTACAGTCATTCTTGTGAAGAATAGAAATAATGGGTCCGCAGGTATTTTAGATTATGTTTATTTGCTATTGCAGTGTTAAATTATTGCCTTTATTACTTGCCATATGAAAGTCTACTTGAGGGCCAGGCGTTGTGGCTCACGCTTGTGATCCCAGCACTCTGGGAGGCCGAGGCGGGCAGATCACCAGGTCAGGAGATCAAGACCATCCTGGCCAACATGGTGAAACCCCGTCTCTATTGGGGAAAAAAAAAAAAAGTCTGTACTTGAACAAAAGATGCCACGAATTTCAAGTTAATATGCTCACACGTGTATTCTCCACAGAAGGGCACTGGCGTATTTGCAGTCAAGGTGTGGCATTTCTTGCCTGCCTTGTGCTGCTGTGTCTGTGTGAAATAAAAAGGCAGTAGGCAAAGAAGAATCAACCATGAAATTTCCAGTTTCAACAGCCACAGCCTCTGTAATTGAGTGTTATGTCACCTAGAAATAATGACAGTATTTCAAAACTGAAAAAAAGAAAGTGATACTTTATATTTTGTTTGTTGTTTATAAAAATTCATAGTTTCTGATTTATTATATGCTAAACAACCTGAACGTGCAGATACCTAAAGTTCCCACCTAGATGAGAGCATTAATATTTTAACAGCTTATAATTGAGAGTCAGAATTGCCCTCTTGGGTTTACTAAAAAGCAGTTATTTATCTTCTAAGTGTAAATAGGTTTCCCATAATCTTAAACATACAGATCGGCCGGGCTCACGGCTATAATCCCAGCACTTTGGGAGGCTGAGGCGGGTGGATCACAAGGTCAAGAGATCGAGACCATCCTGGTCAGCAAGGTGAAACCCCGTCTCTACTAAAAATACAAAAAAATTAGCTGGGCATGGTGGTGCGTGCCTGTAGTCCCAGCTACTCAGGAGGCTGAGGCAGGAGAATTGCTTGAACCCAGGAGGCGGAGGTTGCAGTGAGCCGAGATCGTGCCATTGCACTCCAGTCTGGGTAACAACAGCGAAACTCAGTGTCAAAACAAAACAAAACAAAACAAAAAAACATACAGATCTTTTAAGATTAGCGCTATGTCTAGATTTGAATAAAATTTATAGATTTGTAGTAACATAAATTTTCATCTTTATTTTCTAATAAAAATGAAAAAGTAAAAGAAATGTTAAAATGAGTTTACCAGAAACTTTATATTTCTTCATTAAATAACATTTAAAGGCCAGGCGCGGTGGCTCACGCCTATAATCCCAGCACTTTGGGAGGCCGAGGCAGGTGGATCACGATGTCAAGAGATAGAGACCATTCTGGTCAACATGGTGAAACCCTGTCTCTACTAAAAATACAAAAATTAGCTGGGCATGGTGGTGCGCACCTGTAGTCCCAGCTACTCTGGAGGCTGAGGCAGGAGAATTGCTTGAACCCAGAAGGCGGAGGTTGTGGTGAGCCGAGATCGTGCCATTGCACTCCAGTCTGTGTAACAACAGCGAAACTCCATCTCAAAAATAAATAAATAAATAAATAAATAAAATTTAAAATGACATTGTGAGTGATCAGTAATTCCTATATATTTTTAGTCACTGAGAAAACAATATTTTTAAATTATTCGATTGGGGAAGTATTCTCATATCAGTGTTTCTGAAATTCGGAAACTGTAGACCACTCAATAGATGATGTACATGCAGACCACACATTTTTCATATAATAATAGGGTAATCCTAGCTTTTTATATAAAAATGTAACGTACTTCTAAATTAAAATTAGTGTATTCCCAATTATTTTCTCTGAAAAACTTCTAGAAATCGTGGCAGCTTTTTGATTAAAACATTTTTTGTTATTTTTAATGCAAATTAGTTTACTGTGTTCACAGAGTGGCCAGTCTTGGGACCATAAGTAACACTTGCTCTTTTAGTGTCTTTCATACCATTACCGTCAGCACCAGAAACTCCAGATGCCCCAAGCTTAAAATAAAGGACTAAAGTACATGCTCGTCCCATCACTGTGATGGGTTTAAAACATGCTGCCAAGTATCACAGTTCCTATGTTATGACTGGCACATGACGAAAGCAGCACCAAGACTATTTTTTATACTATTCAGCCAACTTTATGACAAAGACACAAACATTATTTGAAATATTGTTATCTTTTTGTAAGGTTTTAAAAATATATTCTCTAATTTGAAAGATAAAATGTATATTTTTTCTGTGAAACAACATTTTGAAGGATATACACGTGATCAAATGCTTAGCTCTAGGTAATTAATGCTTTATCTCAAATGGTTAACATCTTTGTGGTGAAATCACATAACATTGTTAGCATTTTTCACACATAACAAATGCAATATTATAAAGTGTAGTCACAATGCTGTACAATACTGAACTTCCTCCTCCTATCCAGCTATAATTATGTATTCTTTCACAGACATCTTTCCAATTCCCCATTTTTTTCTAAATACCTTGGCATCTGATGGTCCCATTTTGCTCTCTACATCAATGAGATTAAGTTTTTTAGAATCCACGTGTAAGTGAAATTATGGGATGCTAAAACTATGACTTACTTCAACTGATGTCCTTAGGGTTAATCCATGTGATAGGAAATAATAGAATTTTCTAAAGATAAATAGTATTTCATTGGGTATATATACCATGTTGTCTTTATTTACTCATAGATGTTGAACTGTTGACTGTATAATTGGGCTGTTCTGAGGAGTGCTGCAAACAACATGGAAGTGTGGATATTTATTCTGAGTTTGTTCTGGATATACAACAGTGAAATGGTTTTGCTATATAATAGTTAGATTTTAAGTTTTTTCTTTTTTTGTAATCTCTGCTTTGTTATTTATAATGGCTGTCCTCATTTACATTCAAACCAACAGTGTGGAAGCATTTTCTTTTATTCACATCTTTGCCAACTAACGCTTTTTAATTTATTTGTTTTTGAGACACAGTCTTGCTCTCTCACTCAGGGTGGAATGCAATGATGTGATTCTCACCTCACGGCAACCTCTACCTCCTGGGTTCAAGTGATCTCCTGCCTCAACCTCCACAGTAGCTGGGATTACAGGTTCCTGCCATCGCACCTAGCTATTTTTTTTTTTTTTTGTATTTTTAGTATACATGGGGTTTTGCCATGTTGGCCAGGCTGGTTTCAAACTCCTGATCCACCTGCCTTGGCTTCCCAAAGTGCTGGGATCAGAGGCATGAGCCACTGCACAAAGCCTTTTTTTTTTTTTTTTTTACAAATAAACTAAAGGCTTTATGTGGATGACTGCATGCAGCATCTGTAGAACATGCATTCTTTTCAAGGGCCCATGAACCTTCGCTAAGGTCAAACATATGCTGGGCCATGAAGCAAATCTCAATACATTTCAAAGGATAGCAGTAATACAGAGTGTGTTTTATGATCACAATAACAAAAATATAACTAGGAAGTTTCCATATGTTTGGAAGTCAAAAAATACACTTCTAAATAACCCATGTTATCTGTTGTGATTCCCCAATTTTCATTCCTACCTTTATTTGTAGTTTTTTTTAATTTTTCAATCACATCAGAGGTTTATCAATTTTCAGTCTTTTCAAAGTACCAACCTTCACTTTGTTGGTCTTCTTTATTGTTTCCTATTTCAACAACTTTTGCTCTCTTTTCTATTTCCTTCCTTTAACTTTTAAAAAGATAAGTCAATTTAACAAAGTTTATACAAATTTTTATAAAATACAGAGCATTTTTATTAAGCCTTAAAGTAATCTTGTAAATAGGTCTTTTCCTTCATTTTATAGATGGGAAAATGATAGAAGAGGAAATAAATTTATATTATTGCATTGAACGGAACATGGCCCTACAGTTTGTACCCAAGACCAGAGGAACTTTGCCTGCTCCTCTCTTGTTGGTCTTTGCCCTGCCCAACCCAGGATCACTGCTTATCCTACACTTGATTTAGCCAAAAGACCCAGAAGCAATACATTGCTTATCCTTTGAGATCTTAAAAGACACTCACCGGAAATAGCCATGGTTAACACAGTTAACCAAAGCCTTTTTTCAAGAGTCATTCTAATGAGTGAGTTGAGATATCATTGTTTTTTTCTCTTGCTTTCTCTATTAAGAATTGACATTTAGCATATTTCAGTATATCTGTTTGCCATATGTATGTATTCTCTGGAAAAATACACTTTTTGCTCATTTTAATAGTTACTTGTTTATTGTTTATGCTCATTTAAGTTTCTTACATATTTTTATATTAACCCCTTGTTCCATATTTTAGTTATCCTGTTGATCGTATCATCTTTTGTGCAGAAGCATTTTAATTTTAAGTATTGTGACTCTTACTTTTTCTTTTGTTCCCTGGGATTTTGAGGTTAAATTAGTCACTGCCCGACCAATGTTATGGAACTTTCACTCTTTGTTGTTGTTGTTGTTTGTTCGTTTTTAGTAATAGTAGTTTCAGAGTTTCAGGCCACACATTTATGCATCTAATTTATTTTGAGTGGGTTTTTATATGTGGTGTGAATTGAGGGTCTCCTTTTATTGCTCTACATGTGTCCATAAAGTTTTCTCAACAGCAGAAAACTGTCTTTTTCTGTCAGTTGAGAAAACTTTATGGACACATGTAGTCCATAAAGACTGTCTCTACTGTCTTTTTCCTAAGAAATTGTCACCTTCATTTAAAATCAGTTAGCTATAAGTAGATGGCTATATTTCTAGTCTCTTTTTTTTTCTTCATTGGCTCCATGTCTGTTTTTATTCAATTGCCATAATGTTTTCATTACTATAGTTTTGTAGTAGATTTAAAAGTCAGGTAGGCTGATAACTACTTTTTCTGTTTGATGGCTTTGGCTATTCAGGGTCTTTTGTCCTACCATATAAATTATAGATGTATTTTTACTAATCTTTTTTTTTTTTGAGAGACAGAGTCTTGCTCTGTTTCCATGCTGGAGTGCGGTGTTGTGATCTTGGCTCCCTGCAACCTCTACCTCTTGGGTTCAAGCATTTCTGACACCTCAGTCCCATGTGAGTAGCTGGTACTACAGGCATGAGCCACCATGCCCAGCTAATTTTTATATTTTTAGTAGAAATGGGGTTTCACCATGTCTGCCAGGATGGTACCGATCTCTTGACCTTATGATCTGCCCACCTTGGCCTCCCAAAGTGCTGAAATTACAGTAGTGATCCACAGCGCCTGACCTATTCTTAAGAATTGGTATTAAGTATGTCACTGATATTTTCATTGAGGTTGCATTATATCTGTAGATAATTTTGTGTAATACAAATATTTAACACTATTAATAATGGCAGTTCATTAATGATTAACTAATATATCAATTTCTTTAATGTTTTTTACGGTACAATGTAAGATGCTTCATATTTTTGGTAAATTTATTTCAAAGTATAGTTATTACAGTTATTGTAGATGGAATTGGTTTTTAAATTTATTTTGAGATACGTGTTAGTTTATAGAAGTGCTACTGACAGGCTGAGAGTGGTGGCTAATGCCTGTAATCACAGCACTTGGGGAGGCTGAGACAGGCAGATCATGAGGTCAGGAGTTGGAGACCAGCCTTGCCAATATGGTGGAACCCTGTCTCTACTAAAAATACAAAAATTAGCTGGTCGTGGTGGCATGTGCCTGTAGTTCCAGCTACTGGGGAGGCTGTGGCAGGAGAATCGCTTGAACCCAGTAGGCAGAGGTTGCAGTGAGCCAAGATCATGCCACTGCACTCCAGCCTGGGTGACAGAGCAAGACTTTATCTCAAAAAATAATGATTATTATAATTATGATAAATAGTACTAGGAAAACTGCTTGGTCATATGCAGAAAGAAGTGGACCTCTACCTCTTTCCATATAGAAAATATAAGTCAAGATAGACTGTGATAACCTGCTTTTTGTTAGCTTAAACTGACTCTCTTCTTAGCTGAGAGCGGTTCAGGCTTCATGTTAGCTTCTTGAGCTGGACAGACTCCATCTTAGCGTCTTCATTTTAGTTACTCCCGTCATTAAGTATGTAACTGGGGCAGGATGACACCAGGCACATCCAGGAGTGCATTTGCTGATAAGAGGCCAAGTTAGGTGGCACCAGCAGAGCCTGGGAATGCAGGCGCTGTCGAGTACCCAGAGCTCCCATATCTATAAGATGTATGTCTTTTTATGACAGCTCTAGCCTCACCTGGTACTGTTTTATTTCTCATGTACTAGTTTATCTTTTAAGTTTTCGCTTGCTCTGCTTCTGTTAGGTTCCCCCCTGCCTTTTCAACCTAGGGTATAAGAAACCTTTTAACTCTTTCTTCAGGGCTGAGAGAATTTTGGGTGTTAGCCACCTCTCGGTTACCAGCTAAAATAAAGGACTCATAATTCAATCTCAAAGTGTGGTGCATTCCTCGACTCACTCGGGTATAACAAGACTAAAGACTTACCTGTGAGTTTTCAAGCTACAAAAATTCTAGAAGAACACTTAGAGAGTACTCTTCTAGACACTGTCTCCGGAATGAGTTTCTGAATAACATCTTAAAAGTGAGTGCAACAAAAATAAAAATAAAAACTTTGCATCTAATTAAACTCAAGAGCTTCTGTACAGCCAAAGAAACTTATCAACAAAGAAACAGACACTTTACAATATGAAATATTTCCAAACTGCATACAAGTGATTAATACATAGACTCTATAAGAAATTTAATTTGAAAAACCAGAAATATAGACACTTCTCAAAGGAAGACATAAGTTTCCAATAAACATTCAAGAAATGCCTAACACCCCAAACATCAGAGAGATGTAAACCAAAAGGACAAAGTGACACCATTTTACACCAGTTAGAATGACTGTTTTATAAGTCAAAAAATAGCATGTCTAAGTTGTGGAGAAACAGGTATCATTATAACAGTTGTTGGGGATGCAATAAAATGTAGCCCCGTGGAAAGAAGTTTGGGGATTTCTCAGAGAACGAGAAATAGAGCTGCCATTTAATCCACCAGCCGCGTCACCCCAAAGAAGAACAAATTCTTTTTTGCCAAAAGACACCTGCACTGACATGTTTATGGCAGCAAAATTCACAACACCAAAAGACACAGAATTAAACAGGGTGTCTATAAATCTTAGATTGGATAAGAGAAATGAGGTGCTTATACTGCATGCAATACTATGCAGCCACAGAAAAGAATGAAGTAATTTTTTTTTTTTTGCCACAACATGAATGCAGCAGAAGGCCATTAATGTAAGCAAATTAACACAGATCCGTAAAACAAATACCACACATTCTCACTTATATGTGGGAGGTAAACATTGGGTGCAGAAGAAAACAAAGATGAAAATAAACACTAAAAAGATGAAAATAAATGCTTAAAAAGATGGAAGAAGAGGCCGGTCACGGTGGCTCACACCTATAATCCCAGCACTTTGGGAGGCCAAGGCTGGTGGATCACGAGGTTAAGAGATCGAGACCATCCTGGTCAACAAGGTGAAACCCCGTCTCTACTAAAAATACAAAAATTAGCTGGGCATGGCGGTGTGTGCCTGTAGTCCCAGCTACTCAGGAGGCTGAGGCCGGAGAATTGCTTGAACCCAGGAGGTGGAGGTTGCGGTGAGCCGAGATCGTGCCATTGCACTCCAGCCTGGGTAACAATAGCGAAACCGTCTCAAAAAAAAAAAAAAAGATGGAAGAAGAAAGGGAGACAAGCATTGAAAAGCTACTTTCAGGTGTGATGTTCACTACTTGGGCAATGGGATTATTAAGTATCCAGACCTCAACGCCATGCAGTGTACATATGCTGCAAATCTTCCCTGAACCTAAACTAGAAATAACAAGATGTTTTGTGGCATAATGACATGTTTCTTTTGTTCCAAGTTAATAGTTAGAATCAGCAGTGAGAGAGAATTATTTACTCCTTAACGTACGGGGTAAATGTTTCTGTACCAGGTCCCCACAATTTGGGAGCTATCTTCTCTGTAAGCTCGTGGCCTATAGCCCAAGGTGTGTTTTATTCCCAAGTGTGCAGTTAAAACAGATGACACTACATCTGTATTTTTTAATGTATTAACTATACCCTAGACTATATGGTTAATTTGTTACTTTGTTTGAGGAAAAGTGGTAGGTGATGTAATTACATTTTCTTAAGAATGAACCACTTTTGAAAATATGAGGCTGTGAAGATTATGCTAAATAATTAACATTTGTCTGAAAAGAAGCATAAAAGTTTTATGACCATAGCCCAAGAATGATGAAACAGAGAGTGGGAGAGTGGGTTAAGATCACACTGCTGTAGCCATTCCATCACAATCCTTCTCATAATAATAATAATAATGGGTCAAAAGGAATTTTTAGAATACTTTTCTTAATTCCATCAAAGTATTAAATTTTTATTTGCTGTATTTGCTGCTTCTGCTGCTTCTTTTTTTTTTTTTTTAGATGGAGATTCACTCTTGTTACCCATGCTGGAGTACGATGGTGCAAACTTGGCTCATTGCAACCTCTTCCTCCCAGGTTGGCCAGACTGGTCTTGAGGTCCTGACCTCAAGTCATCTGCATGCCTCAGCCTCCAAAAGTGCTGGGATTGCAGATATGGGCCACTGAGGCCAGCCAAAAATTTTTAAATTAAAAATACCTTCAGCAACTTAGTAGGCCTGAAATTTGATAAAAGATTGTTTACTCATCATTAATCAATATCAGGTTAAACTAGAAAATTTTGAATACATTGTACAGAAAGTTAAATAAAATTTGTCAACATTCCCCAGACTTAATCTGATTAAAACAGGACATCTGGGTATTTAAAAACACCAGATTGGCTGGGTGAGGTGGCTCATGCCTATAATCCCAGCATTTTGGGAGGCCAAGGTGAGCAGATCACCTGAGATCAGGAGTTTGAGACCAGCCTGGCCAATATGGTGAAACCCAGTTTCTATTAAAAATACAGAAATTAGCCAGGCGTGGTTACACACACCTGTAGTCCCAGCAACTCAGTGGACTCAGGCAGAACAATCACTTAAACCCAGGAGGCAGAGGTTACAGTGAGCCGAGATTTCGCCACTGCACTCCAGCTGGTGACATAGTGAGATTTCATCAAAAAAAAACAAAAACAAAAAAACAGAAAATGAAAAACACCAAATTAGTGATAAAAAGTATTTATTTTTAAAAGATTTTTGACCTTATATATATAAACACATTGCCTGTTTTTTGCCTGTATATATATATGCTAGCATTGTTTCATCTGTGTCTTGCTTATTTATATATATATAAGTTTGAGATTCCACACTGCAAATAAACTTTAACGTATATTACATTTTCCATCACCATAATCCAGGTGATAAATATGTCCATTCCTCCAAAGTTTCCTTGTGTCCTTGTGTTTTGTTTTTATTTTGTGTGTGTTAAAGACACTTAACACCAGATCTACCCTCCATAAATTTTTTTGTTACTGTACTTTAGGTCCTGGGGTACTTGAACAGATCGTGCAGGATTTTTGCATAGGTACATACATGGCAAGGTGGTTTGCTGCCTTCAGCCCCCCAATCATGTACATCTGGTATTTCTCCCCTCATTATCCCTCCCCACCCCCCACTGTTTCTCCTTTAGCCCCTGAACTTACCACAATGTGTGATGTTCCCCTCCCTGTGTCCATGTGTTCTAATTGTTCAACACCCACCTATGAGTGATAACATGCAGTGTTTGGTTTTCTGTTCTTGTGTCAGTTTGCTGAGAATGATGGTTTCCAGATTCATCCATGTTCTCTCAAACGCTGTGCTGGGATTGGGCAAGTTTCTTAACCTCTCTGATTTTTCTGTTACTTAAGAGGTAATATGGCAGTCATGGACACAGGGAGGGGAGCATCACACACTGGGGTCTATTGGGGGGAAATAGGGGAGGGACAGCGGTGGGTGGGGAGTTGGGGAGAGATAGCATGGGGAGAAATGCCAGATATAGGTGATGGGGAGGAAGGCAGCAAATCACACTGCCATGTGTGTACCTATGCAACAATCTTGCATGTTCTTCACATGTACCCCAAAACCTAAAATGCAATAAAAAAAATAATAAAAACATGGCAGTGAAATCCGTGTTGTTATTCGAATGTTATAATAAATTAGATAAAGTTACATTAAGAACAATAAAAACATTAAAAAAGACAGAACATAGATACATTCGAGACTTAAACATTAGATAATATTTTAAACAATTTTTTGGGGCCGGGCACAGTGGCTCAAGCCTGTAATCCCAGCACATTGGGAGGCCGAGGTGGGTGGATCAAGAGATTGAGACCATCATGGTCAACAAGGTGAAACCTCGTCCCTACTAAAAATACAAAAAATTAGCTGGGCATGGTGGCACATGCCTGTAATCCCAGCTACTCAGGAAGCTGAGGCAGGAGAATTGCCTGAACCCAGGAGGCGGAGGTTGCGGTGAGCCGAGATCGCGCCATTGCACTCCAGCCTGGGTAACAAGAGTGAAACTCTGTCTCAAAAAAACAAACAACAAAAAAATGATTTTATTAAATTATAAAATTTAGATAAAACTACCTTTTTTTCCAGAAAAATAAGTGACAAAAAACTGATTGAGGAAGAAATAAAATAGGTAAATAGAAAAATTCAAAGAAATGTTTTTAATTTTACACACCTAAAAAGCCACATATGTTATAAAAGAACAGCTTGATAAATTTGTACAAAATGCATATACCGTGAACCCAGCACCCAGTGATGGAAGAGTGTGAGTATCCTGGCACTCTCCCTCCTTTATTCTCCTTTCCCGTCACTGTTCACTCAAGAGAAACGTATATCCTGGCTTTTTATACGATAAATAATATTTGCCTGTTTTTGAACTTTAGATTAAGACAGTATGTTCTCATTTTTTTTATAGGTTTTTTTGGTTCATCATTGTTTGTGAGATTAATCTCGGTTGCTGCTTATAGTTTGCATATTCATTGATCTACAATGTGACATCATATAAATAAACTAAATTCACTTATTCACCTGTTAATGAACAGCTGGTAATTTTCCAAGTTTTTTAGTGCTTCTGTAGACCATCTTGTGGAATTTTAAAGATAAATTTGTGCAATTATGTAGATATTTAACCACAAATATAATTAAAATAAATTTCTTTCTTCAGCTTGTGTAGACATTGGCAAGCCCTCTTTCAGAATGTAGTACCAACCTATACTACCAGCACTTATGAGGATTATTTATTATCTAATTGTCTTTGTTTTTCAAACCTACAGTGTAAACTTTGTAGTCAGAGGCCTTTAATTTCATTCACCATTGTACTTACAATTTTTAATTGAATAAATAAATTTGATTTGACTTTGAAGCTTTTATTTTTTTTTAAAATAACTGTGGTAAAATTGATTTATTTATATTTCCCTGAACATTTTTTTCCCACAGCTCTGTTATTTTACACATAAGATTTATCTGCAACAAATTTTTTAATCTTTTTTGGACCATTCTTAGTAAAGATTATTTCACCCCAGTATTTACTGTAATGAAGAAGTGCAATTTCAGCATGGTTTTCAAAAAGATAGGCCTTGGCTGACCAGGTGAGCTCTAAGCAATTGTTAACAACTACCTTCTGAAGGAGACTCAAGATGGCGCTGTGAGAACAACCCAGGATTGAAGCTCTCGGTTAATCAGCGGAGAGGTGAGTCAGAGCTCTATTTTCAGACTGATCTTTGTTGCCCACAGAACGGGGAAATTCTAAAGTATAAAGGAGATGCGGGACACCAGGCAGAGGCTCTGCCTGGAGAAGCCGGCAGCCAGGGTGGCGGTGGCCGGCCCTACCCAGCGATCCCCACAGGGCACGCTTGTACAGGTGCCCTTTTGAAACGGCAACCTGAGACTTGAGAGGGCTGAACTCGAGACTGAAAGGGACTTGGGCAGTGGGCCAGCCCAGGGGATTGCAGGGACACAGCGTGTGGGATACCGCAGTGGGACAGACAAAACGGCGATTCCAAACGGTCTTGCCATGGAGACCGTCCCTGAGGCGCTCCGTGGGGGAGGGGCATCCACCATTACCGAGGCAACCCGCCCCGACTGAGGCACATGCCCACTGCTGACACAGCCTGCCGTTGCCAAGGCAACCCGCCACAACAGAGAGACTCTGCTGCAGGGCGGCAGAACAGCAAGAGCCTGCAGGAACAGGGCGAGCCTCACAACAGCAGGGCGGAGCCTCCGCGGTCAAATAGTGATTAGACTGCCTCCTAGCGGGGCAGGACACCTCAACAGACATCCAAAAGCAAAACCCCAACCCCCAAGACAGAGCATTTGAGAAAAAAAAAAGGTTTTTTAATGAGCTCTGTTGCAGCAGAATCAAACATAGCAGCCTAACAGCCCTGAATGAACAACAGAGCTCACAGCTCAGCAATTGAGCTCCTATAAAGTACAGACTGTCTCCTCAAGCAGCTCCCTGACCCCACTTTATCCAAAAGACTGACATTTGGCAGGCATCATCCTGGGACAAAGATAGCAGAAAAAGAAACTGGTAGCATCCCTCACTGTTCCGCAGCTTCCATAGGTGTACCCCAGACAAGCAGGGCCTGGAGTGGACCTCAGCAGTCATACAGCGAAGGGGCTAGACTGGTAGAAGGAAAACCAAGTAACAGAAATACTTCATCACCAACAATCTGGGTGTCCAATAAGAGACCCAATAGAAAAGTCAGCAACTATGCAGACGACAAGTGGATAAATCCACAAAGATGGGAAGAAACCAGCGCAAAAAGGAGGAAAACACCCGAAACCAGAACACCTCGCCTCCTAGAAAGGACCAAAACTCCTCACCAGCAAGGGAACAAAGCTGGACGGAGAATGACTGTGATGAAATGACGGAATTAGACTTCAGAAGATGGATAATGAGAAACTTCCATGAGCTAAAAGAACATGTTCTAAATCAATGCAAAGAAACTAAGAACCTTGAAAAAAGATTTGAGGAAATGATGACAAGAATGGATAACTTAGAGAGGAATATGAATGAACTAAAGGAGCTGAAAAACACAATACGAGAACTTCGCGAAGCATGCACAAGTTTCAATAGCTGAATTGACCAAGCAGAAGAAAGAATATCAGAAGTCGAAGACCAACTCAATGAAATAAAACAAGAAACCAAGATCAGAGAAAAAAGCGCGAAAAGGAATGAACAAAGTCTCCAAGAAATGTGGGACTATGTGAAAAGACCTAACCTACATTTGATAGGTGTACCAGAAGGGGGCGAAGAGAATGAATCCAAGCTGGAAAATACTCTTCAGGACATCATCCAGGAAAATTTCCCCCACCTAGCAAGACAGGTCAACACTCAAATGCAGGAAATACAAAGAACACCACAAAGATATTCCGCAAGAAGAGCAACCCCAAGGCACATAATCGTCAGATTCAACAAGGTTGAAATGAAGAAGAAAATACTAAGGGCAGCCAGAGAGAAAGGTCAGGTCACCCACAAAGGGAAGCCCATCAGACTCACAGCAGATCTCTCGGCAGAAACACTACAAGCCAGAAGAGAGTGGGGGCCAATATTCAACATTCTTAAAGAAAAGAACTTTCAACCCAGAATTTCATATCCAGCCAAACTGAGCTTCAGAAGTGAAGGAAAAATAAAATCCTTTGCGAACAAGCAAGTACTCAGAGATTTCGTCACCACCAGGCCTGCTTTACAAGAGCTCCTGAAAGAGGCACTACACATAGAAAGGAACAACCAGTACCAGCCATTCCAAAATCACACTGAATGCTAAAGAGCATCAATATAAGGAAGAATCTACAACAACTAAAGGGCAAAACAGCCACTTAGCATCAAAATGGCAGTATCAAATTCACACATAACAATATTAACCCTAAATGTAAATGGACTAAATGCACCAATCAAAAGACACAGACTGGCAAATTGGATAAAAATCCAAAACCCATCAGTGTGCTGTATCCAGGAAACCCATCTCACATGCAAGGATACACAAAGACTCAAAATAAAGGGATGGAGGAAGATTTACCAAGCAAATGGAGAGCAAAAAAAAGCAGGAGTTGCAATTCTCATCTCTGATAAAATAGACTGTAAAGCAACAAAGATCAAAAGAGACAAAGAAGGCCATTAGATAATGGTAAAAGGATCGATAAAACAAGAAGAGCTAACGATCCTGAACATATATGGACCCAGGGCAGGAGCACCCAGATACATAAGGCAAGTTCTTAATGATTTACAAAGAGACTTAGACTCCCACACAATAATAGTGGGAGTCTAAGTCTCTTTTTTTTTTTGAAGGGGCCCAGGGCAGCGCTGGGTGCTTTATTTCCATGCCGGGCACCTGGGGGGTATGTACATGGGGTGTGTGGCAGGCACTCTCTCGGGACCCAGAGAGGCTGGGGAGCGGGGCCTGCCGGGTGTTGCACTCATTTACCCGGAGACGCGGAGAGGCTCTTCTGCGTGTAGTGGTTGTGCAGAGCCTCATGCATCACGGAGCACGAAAAGACGCTCCCCTGCTGCCACCTCTGCTTGTCCACGGTGAGCTTGCTGTAGAGGAAGAAGGAGCCGTCGGAGTCCAGCACGGGCTGCGTGTTCTTGTAGTTGTTCTCTGGCTGCCCGTTGCTCTCCCACTCCATGGCGATGTCGCTGGGGTAGAAGCCTTGGATCAGGCAGGTCAGGCTGACCCGGCTCCTGCTCATCTCCTCCCACGCTGGGGGCAGGGTGTACACCTGCGGCTCTCGGGGTGTCCCTTTGACTTTGTGGATGGTTTTCTGGACGGGGGCCGGGAGGGCTTTGTTGGTGACCTTGCATCTGTACTCCTTGCCCTTCAGCCAGTCCTGGTGCAGGACAGGGACGGCGCTGACCACGCGGAACGTGCTGTTGTGCTGCTCCTCCCTTGGACTCGTCTTGGCAGTGTGCACCTCCACGCCGTCCACGTACCAGTTGAACTGGACCTCGGGGTCGTCCTGGCTCACATCCACCACTACGCAAGTGACCTCAGGGGTCCCGGTGATCCTGAGGATGTCCTTGGGTTTCGGGGGGAAGAGGAAGACTGATGGTCCCCCCAGGAATTCAGGTGCTGGGCATGGGGGACAGGGTTGTGGGCCATTAGGTTTCACTGGCACTGGCACGTCCTTCTTGAAGCCGGTGGGCGTGTGGACGACGTTGCAGGTGTAGGTCTGGCTGCCCGCGCTGCTGGTGGTCACCATGCTGCTGAGGGAGTAAAGTCCTGAGGACCGCAGGACAGCAGGGAAGGTGTGCACGCCGCTGGTCAGGGCGCCCGAGTTCCAGGACACGGTCACCAGCTCGGGGAAGTAGTCCTTGACCAGGCAGCCCAGGGCCGTTGTGGTCCCAGAGGTGCCGCAGGGCGTCAAGGGGAAGACATACACTGATCTCTTGCAAGAAATTTGATCTCAGTTATAATCTAAATTACCACAAGTTATGTTCAGATTTTCAAGAGGATATTGTATTTCATTTTTCCCTGGGCTGGTCTTCCCTTGTACATCGGTTTTTGGGCCCTAGAAATGCTCAAAGGGTGCTTCTAGGATTATCAGAGCCTATCTTTCAGCTCCCTAGATCTTTAGCTTCTACTCCCACTGCTCCTCCCAGTCCAGCAGTGCCAGATAATGCATCACAGGAGGAACTCATGATTACGTTACTAACAGCATTGGCTTCTCTTACATCTAGAACTTCTATGGGCATCATTATTGTTGGAGGAGTGATTTGGAAAACTATAGGCTGCAAACTCATATCTGTTTCATTAACTATGTATGGAGCTTTGTATCTTTATGAAAGGCTGTCTTGGACCACCCATGCCAAGGAGAGAGCCTTTAAACAGCAATTTGTAAACTATGCAACTGAAAAACTGAAGATAATTGTTAGCTCCACGAGTGCAAACTGCAGCCACCAAGTAAAACAACAAATGGCTACCACTTTTGCTCGCCTGTGCCAACAAGTTGATACTACTCAAAGACAACTGGAAGAAGAAATTGCTAGATTACCCAAAGAAATAGATCAGTTGGAGAAAATACAAAACAATTCAAAGCTCTTAAGAAATAAAGCTGTTCAACTTGAAAATGAGCTGGAGAATTTTACTAAGCAGTTTCTCCCTTCAAGCAATGAAGAATCCTAACAACAGAGATTGCTTTGGTGACCATGATAGGAAGAAACGAAACTTGTAAGATTGGGACAGTTATTTTTATGAAAGGACTTTAAATATGAATTGTACTAACTGTACCTAAATAGCAAAGCCCTGTGTAGATTCTGATAGTGCTCTATCTCAGGGTATTTGTATTTTGGAGAGTGTTATGTCCTTAGTTTTAATTTTGGGTAAAGAAAAGGCTTAAATTATGAATTAGTTACAAGCAACGATACCAACTTATGTGACCCCTGAGGGGTGGGGCTGTGAGCTCTTCATATGTTTTTGATTCTGAAAAACTTTGCTTCCTGGCATCCAGGAGTTAGAGATTGAGCCTTTCATCTTCTTTCTCAAAACTAGTTTTTGATGCTATCTTTCATGGGAATAGTCACTTTTTAATTTTATTTAATAAACTGCATTGCCGGAAAAAAAAAATGTTCTGTTCTCATACTGCTAATAAAGTCATATCAAGACTGGGTAATTTATAAAAGACATAGGTTTAGTGGACTCACAGTTCCACATGGATGAGGACGCCTCACAATCATGGTAAAAGATGAAGGAAGAGGAAAAAGGCATCTTACATGGTGGCAGGCACAAAGGCCTGTGCAGGGAAACTCCCCTTTATAAAACCATTAGATCCCATGAGACTTATCCACTACCCCAAGAACAGTATAGGACAACCGGTTCTATAGTTCAATTATATTTACCTGGTCTCACTGCTGACACATGGGGAGTATTACAATTCAAGGTGGGATTTTGGTGGGGACACAGCCAAACCATGTCACTCTTATCTCCTGTCTGGACCCTGCCCATACGGGAGATTTTGACACATCACTGAACCCAGCATCTTGGTGATGTGAATCTCCTGGGCCCTCCCCTCAATGAAAATGGTGACATGTCACTGGGCTCAGTACTTAGGTGATGTGACTTCCCTCTCCTGCCTGGACTCTGTCCTAGAAGAGAGTGGTAAGATATCACTGAGACCAGCACTTATGGTCTGTGGTAATGTGATTCTCAGCTTCTCTCAGGGCCCTGTTTACAAGGGGCAAGGTGACATAGTGTGGGGACTATCTCTCAGGTGATGTGACTCTTCTGCATTGGCCTGGCCTAAAGGGGGAATTGTGACATATCTCTGGGCCTACCACCTAGGTGATGTGACCTTCCTCACCTGCTTGTGCTCTGCCCACAGGAAGATTTCCATGTATCTCTGGGCTCAATACCTAGGTAATGGGACTCTTCTGCCTAAGCACTGCTTACATTAGGCCCAAGACACAATGATGTAAGTTTTCACTTCTGCTTGGGCCCTACACAAAGTGGGCATTGTGACATATCATGGGGCTCATCACCTAGATGATGTAATTCTTTTGCTTGGGCCTTGCCCACAGTATAGTGACATATTACTAGGCATATCACCTAGGTGATGTGATATTTCTGCTCTGGCCTGTACCATAGAGGGCATTGTGACATATTGCTGAACTTAGTGCTCAGGAGATGTGACTGATGGGCCAGGACTGAATCTACAGGTGGACTGTGACATATTTCTTGTCCAGCACCTAGGTGACATGACTCTTCTTCTTTTTTTTGCACGGGCCCTGACATCAGTGAGGATTTTGGCATATTGCTGGGCCCTACACCCAAATGATGTGACTCTGCTGCCTCAGTTCTGCCAAAAGAAAGCATTGTGACCTATCCAATAGGCTAGAACCTACATGATGTGACTTTCCTCTCCTTCCTGAGCCCCGTAAATGGAGTTAATTGTGAAATACTGCTTTGCACAGGACTAAGGTGATGTGGTTCTCTAGGCTGGGCCCTGCCCATAAGAGGCATTGTGACGTATTGCTGAGCTCAGCATTCAAGTAATGTGACTTTCTTGCCAAAGCACTGAACACAGAAGTTGCCTGAAATAACATTCAATCAGCGTGACTCTCCTGTTTGGTCTCTTTACACCGGCCTAGCTCACAGGCATGATGATGACTCTCATATGTGGACCCAACTGATAGAAAAAATTTTGACTCTCATGGCTGAAATTACGGGAATAGGCCAGGTCTTCTGTTTTCTGCTTGTGGTAATTCACAGAAGGGGATGACACTGAAGCACCAACACACAGGTGAGATTGTGCATCCCATAGGCACGCCCAGCCAACAATTAGAATTGTCACTCTTACACATGGACAGAACCCACTGGTGAGGTCCTGAGTCACACATGCGGACATCACTCACAGTTAGAGTTGTGACTGTCATATGTAAATTCGGCAACGTGTGAGATGATGACTCATTTCTAGACCAAGCTCACAGGTGTAATGATGACCCTCATATTTGAATTTAGCCAATAGAAGAGGTGTTGATTTTGTAGCTGGGCTTAGGGCATTGAGTAAGGCCCCAAGTCTTCTGTCTGCAGAAAGTTCTGAGAGATTACCCCACTCATGCATATAATATAAAGCCCTTAAAGTTCACAGAGTTTCATAACAGGACCCAGTACAAAGGTGAGATTGTGACTCCTCTGTGCACATCCAGCTGACAGGATCATCACCCTCACAAATTAACAGAGCCCACTGCTGAGGGTATGGGTCTCACTTATGGATACAGCTCACAGTTTGAATTGTGACTTATACAGTGTGAATTTTACCACAGGTGGGATGTCTTATTTCTGAACGCAGCTCATAGGCGCAGTGATGACTCTCATACCTGGACCCAGCAAAGAGGAGAAATGATGAATCTTGTAATAGGAAGTTATGCATGTGTATGTGTGTGTTTCAGTTCCTTGGGCTTTGAAAAATTGATTCTACATTATCTTATACAGATGCAAATGTATTAGGTGGTTTTTTTGCAAGGCTGTATGTATATTCCTTCTGTTGATTGAAATATTGTCACTTGTGTTATGTAGATATATTTGTAGATCTCAGAACAGAAACAATATTGTAAATATTATAGCTTAATAAATGTTGATGGTATGTAAATATATCAATAATACATATTTAGAAGGTAGTTGGTTTTTTTTTTCTTATTTTTTTATTGCATTTTAGGTTTTGGGGTACATGTGCAGAGCATTCAATACAGTTGCATAGGTACACACATGGGAGTGTGTTCTGTTTGCTTTCACCCCTTCACCCACATTTGGCGTTTCTCCCCAGGCTATCCCTCCCCACCTCCCCCTCCCACTGGCCCTCCCCTTTTTCCCCCAATAGACCCCAGTGTTTAGTACTCCCCTCTCTGTGTCCATGTGTTCTCATTTTTCATCACCTGCCTATGAGTGAGAATATGCGATGTTTCATTTTCTGTTCTTGTGTCAGTTTGCTGAGAATGATGTTCTCCAGATTCATCCATGTCCCTACAAACAACACGAACTCATCATTTCTGATTGCTGCATAATATTCCATGGTGTATATGTGCCACATTTTCCCAATCCAGTCTATCATCAATGGGCATTTGGGTTGATTCCAGGTCTTTGCTATTGTAAACAGTGCTGCAATAAACATTCGTGTGCATGTGTCCTTAAAGTAGAATGATTTATAGTCCTTTGGGTATATACCCAGTAATGGGATTGCTGGGTCAAATGGAATTTCTATTTCTAAGGCCTTGAGGAATCGCCACACTGTCTTCCACAATGGTTGGACTAATTTACACTCCCACCAACAGTGTAAAAGTGTTCCGTTTTCTCCACATCCTCTCCAGATTTTTAATGATTGCCATTCTAACTGGCGTGAGATGGTATCTCAATGTGGTTTTGATTTGCATCTCTCTGATGACCAGTGACGATGAGCATTTTTTCATATGATTGTTGGCCTCATATATGTCTTCTTTCGTAAAGTGTCGGTTCATATCCTTTGCCCACTTTTGAATGGGCTTGTTTGTTTTTTTCCTGTAAATCTGTTTGAGTTCTTTGTAAATTCTGGATATCAGCCCTTTGTCAGATGGGTATACTGCAAAATTTTTTCCCATTCTGTTGGTTGCCGATTCACTCTAGTGACTGTTTCTTTTGCCATGCAGAAGCTGTGGAGTTTGATTAGGTCCCATTTGTCTATTTTGGCTTTTGTTGCCAATGCTTTTGGTGTCTTGTTCATGAAGTCCTTGCCTACTCCTATGTCCTGTATAGTTTTGCCTAGATTTCCTTCTAGAGTTTTTATCATGCCAGGTCTTATGTTTAAGTCTTTAATCCATCTGGAGTTAATTTTAGTGTAAGGTGTCAGGAAGGGGTCCAGTTTCTGCTTTCTGCACATGGCTAGCCAGTTTTCCCAACACCATTTGTTAAATAGGGAATCCTTTCCCCATTGCTTGTTTTTGTCAGGTTTATCAAAGATTGTATAGTTGTAGATATGTTGTGTTTCCTCCGGTGCCTCTGTTTTGTTCCATTGGTCTATATCTCTGTTTTGGTACCAGTACCATGCTGTTTTGATTACTGTAGCCTTGTAGTAGAGTTTGAAATCCGGTAGTGTGATGCCCCCCGCTGTGTTCTTTTTGCTTAGAATTGATTTGGCTATGCGGGCTCTCTTTTGGTTCCATATGAAGTTCCTGGTGGTTTTTTCCAGTTCTGCGAAGAAAGTCAATGGTAGCTTGATGGGGATAGCATTGATTCTGTAAATTACTTTGGGCAGTATAGCCATTTTCACGATATTAATTCTTCCTAACCATGAACATGGAATGTTTCTCCATCTGTTTGTGTCCTCTCTGATTTCGTTGAGCAGTGGCTTGTAGTTCTCCTTGAAGAGGTCCCTTACGTTCCTTGTGAGTTGTATTCCTAGGTATTTTATTCTTTTTGTAGCAATTGTGAATGGCAGTTCGTTCTTGATTTGGCTTTAAGTCTGTTATTGGTGTAGACGAATGCTTGTGATTTTTGCACATTGATTTTATATCCTGAGACTTTGCTGAAGTTGCTTATCAGCTTCAGGAGTTTTTGGGCTGAGGCGATGGGGTCTTCTAGGTATACTATCATGTCGTCTGCAAATAGAGACAATTTGGCTTCCACCTTTACTGTTTGAATACCCTTTATTTCTTTTTCTTGCCTGATTGCTCTGGCTAGAACTTCCTGTACTATATTGAATAGGAGTGGTGAGAGAGGGCATCCTTGTCTAGTGCCGGATTTCAAAGGGAATGCTTCCAGTTTTTGCCCATTCAGTATGATATTGTCAGTATGAAATGCCAAATGTGGGTGAAGGGGAGAAGGGAAGCAAAGCACACTGCCATGTGTGTACCTACGTAACTGTCTTGCATGCTCTGCTCATGTACCCCAAAACCTAAAATCCAATGAAAAATAAAAAAAAAAAGGAAAGAAAGAAACTGTGGGGTAAATCACTCTATAAACCAACTGTATATTATGTGATAGGAATGCATACTTTATAATATAAACCTGTCTGCCATTGTAGTTAGCTGAAAAATTTCTTCAATCTTTCTTGGCTTGGAAAAATGGAGCTCAAAATTTTAGTACAAATTATTATCAAGCTTCAACTCTTTTGTGTGGCAGGTATCTTGTTTTCACCTTCCAGTTCTTTCACCCCAGCCTGTGTCATGAGGTCTGCGATGTTCTTCTTTAGATTGTCAATGTGACTACCCGTATTATTAATTCTCCCGATGATCTGGTCAGACAGGGTCTGAAGTTTCCCTTGCATCTGCTGCAGGAGTGTCTGCACCACCAAGGTGAAGTCCTGCATGGTCTTGGGGTCGGTCTCGGTCATCTCCCTGATGCCCGGCTTGGCAGTCTGGTAACTCATTTCTAAATCCACTCATAGGCAGGACTCTCCTATCTGGACCAAGCTAGCTGGAGTTACGTTGACTCCCAAATCTTGGCTTAGGGCTACAGGTACCATCATTGATCCATTCCAGCATGAATTTCTGAGCATGAATTGTGACACTAATGCACACTGTATAATGCCATCAGTTGGCACAGAGAATGTTTTTACAGGACCCGGCAGACACGTGAGATTGTGACACTCATATGAACACAAAGCTGAGAGTAAAGATGATCAACCTCCTACATCAACACAGTGCACTGTTGAGATCTGAATCTCACACCCAGAGGCAGTCAGAAGACTTTTTTTTTAAAAGGCTCTTGTACATATATGTGGTCCAATGTGGATTGGTGACTCTTAGACCAGAATTCAGCACTCCAGAGAGGCTGGGACTTCACTAAGCAAACACAGTCTGCAATAGAAATTGAGACTCTGATGATCCGGTTCACTGATGAGATTGTGCCTCAAGTAGCTGGACCCAACATTCAGGAAGTGTTGACTCTAATACCTAAAACTGGGATATGTGCAGGATTGTTCATCTCATCCCTGAATCTTTCTACAGGTGTGATTGTGACATATCATGTGCCCAGGACCCAGCATGATTTGAGTCTCCCACCTGAACCCAGCCCACAGATGAAATTGTGACATACCACTAGACCCAGAACCTGTGTGATGTTACTCTTCTTCTGCCTTGGCCCTGCCTACATGAGCACATATTTCTAGACCCTGCACTCAGCACTCAGGTTATATGTCTCTTCTACCTGTGCCCAGATTGTATGGGTCATTGTGACATAATTTTGGTATGAGAATAATATTTCTTAATTATTCATCTAGATGATTTGACTCTCCTTTTCTGCCTGAGCACTGCACACAGCTGAGATTGTGACACTGATACACACACCCAGACAGCAGTATGGACTGTCATCATCCCACATGACACAGCCCACTGTTGAGGTTGAGTGTCCTACCCAAAGCCAGCCATAAGCTGCCTGGGGCCTGCCCGCAGAAAGCATTTTGACATATCTCTGTGCCAATCACACAGGTAATGTGAACCTCTTCTACTGCCTCTTTGCTGCCCACAGGGAAGATTACGGCTTCTCAGTGGGCCAACATCTAATTGATGTGACTCTTTTCCTCAGGTTCTGCCTACAGGGGAGATTGTGACATATTGCTGTGTTTGGCACCAAGGTGATTTGAGTTTCCTGCCTGGATTCTGCCTTGTAGGGGCATTGCGACATAGCTCTGAGCCAATCACCTAGATAATGTGACTTTCCTCCTTTCTTACCTGAACTGTGCCCATAGAATAGATTGTAGCATATCTCTAGGACCAGCAGCGAGGTGATGTGATTGTCCTCTCTTGCCTGGCCATGCCTACAGAAGGCAGTTACTGCCAGGTGTGGTGGCTCACGCCTGTAATCCCAGCACTCTGGAAGGCTGAGGTGGGCAGATCTCAAGGTCAATAGATAAAGACCATCCTGGTCAACATGGTGAAAGCCCTTCTCTACGAAAAATGCAAAACTTAGCTGGGTGTGGTGGCAATTGCCTATTGCTCCAGCTACTTGGGAGGCTGAGGTGTGAGAATCTCTTGAACCCAGGAGGGTGGAGGTGGCATGGAGCAAAGATTGAGCCACTGTGCTCCAGCCTGGTGACAGAGCAAGACTCTGTCTCATTAAAAACAAACAAACAAACAACAACAACAACAAAGGCAGTTACTTATGACTGGCCCCAGCACACAGGTGACAGGGGGCATGGGGACATTTCTCTGGGCCCATCATCTAGATGATGTGACTCTTCTCTTATTCATAGGACCCATCCACATGAGGAATGTGACATATTACTGGGCCCCGCATCTATGAGATGCATCACACCTCTCATGTCCTGTCTCTTTCAACTGGAATGATTGTGACTTGAAGCTGGGCCCAACCCCTAAGTTATGTGCCTTTTTTTTTCCTTCTGAGCCCTACCCACAAGGGGGCATTGCAACAGATGTTTGAGTCCCTCACCTAGGTGGCGTGACTTTCATGAGTGAGCCATCCACTCAGCACTGAGATGATGTGACTCTCCTCTACTGCTTGGGCTCTCTCCAAGGAGGTGTTGTGATGTATCACTGGGTCCAGCACCTAGGTTACTTGACTTCCCTCTACTTCCTGGGCCCTGCATACATTGTGTAGTGTGACCTATAGCTGTGTCTAAAACATAAGGGATGCAACTCTCCTCCATTGGCTTTGCCGATAGAGGTATAGAAGAGGTTAATGAAAGAGAGTAAAATTTCTCAATTATTCACCTAGGTGATTTGACTCTCTTTTCTGCCTGAGCACTGCACACAGCTGAGATTGTGACACAGATAGGCACACCCAGCCAGCAGTATAGACTCATCTCACATGAACACAGCCGACTGTGGAGGTTCTGAGTCTCCCACCCAAAGCCATGATTGACTCTCATATGCAGATTGTCCTCACATTTGGGTTTCTGACTCTCCAACCAACATTCAGCAAACCTGTGAGGCTGTCACTCTGCTAAGAAGGCAGTGCACAGGGCAGATTGATGCTGTCGTGCATGGATCCAGCACACCATTGAGATCATGACTCATGGACTTATGCCCAACATGACATTTCACTGGGCCCAGTACCAAGCTGATGTCACTCCTCTATTATCCAGTTTCTGACTCCAGAGAAGATTGTGAAATATTGCTGGGGTCTTTCACCTAGTTGATGTGACTATCTTACCTGTGCTTTTTTCTCAAGGGGTGTGGTGACACATTGCTCGACCCAGCACCTCGGCAATGTGACTCTTTTCTGCTCCTAGGGCTCTGCCTAAAACATGATTGCTTTGTATTACTGGGCTCTGCACCAATGTGACAATACTGTTAGCTCTGCCTGCATATCAGTCATAAATTCACCCTGTGTAAAACTCTGAACCACCAGGGGGCACTATACAACATGCATAAGTTTAATAATCTGCGGTGACTTTCACACAGGTAGGAGACCCAGGACACTAGCAGTTTTCTTAAGCCTAACTATAAGGGTCAGCATGTTTTTGGGTTTGCTTGTTTTTAATTGGCTGGGTCCAGTAATGAGAGTCATCGCTGTGCCTGTGAACTACCATCACTCCTGTGACTAGATGTGTACATGACAGTCAAATTTCCAACTGTGGACTGTGTCAGGACCTCACCAGAGGTCTCTGTTCATGTGTGAGGGTGACACTTATAACTGTTGGCTGGATGAGCATACAAGAGTCCCTTCCCATCTCATCTGTGTGCTGGGTGCACTTATTTGTCAAAATCCCTCTTGTGGTGACATGGGTCACCATCCCCCCCTTTAAATTAAAATTAAACTGTAAAGGGGGGATGCTGACCCATGTCACCACAAGAGGAATTTTGTGGGAAGTGACACAACATTAAAATTCCAACTGTGGATTGCATCTGTGAGTAAAATCCAGGACCTCACCAGTGGGTTCTGTCCATGTGTGTGAATGACAGTTCTTACTGTTGGCTGAGTGTGCATGTGACAGTCACAATCTCCACTTTGTGCTGAGTTATGTAATGACATTCTCTTTACAACCCTCAGGGCATTATACAATATAAGTGAGTGCGAGAATCCTCTGTGATGTTTATACAAGTAGGAAACCCAAAACTTTACCTGTTGACCTAAGCCTAGGGACAAGTGTCAACATACCTTCTATTGCCTGGGTTCATTGTGCAAGTGAGTTGGGTTCAGGAATTTGTTACCATCCAACCTGGCTGGATCCACATATGACAGTCACAATTTCAATGGTGGAATAGGTTCATGTGTAAGATTTAGAACCTCACTAGTAGGCTCTGCCTATGTATGAGCATGGCAATTCAAATTGATGGCTAGGTGAGATTGAGCCATAGGAGAGTCTCAATGTCACCTGTGGACTGGGCCATGTAATGACACTCTGTATTTCCCAAGAGATTTATACGACGTACAAGAGTGTCATAATCTTCTGTTACCTTCCTACAATTAAAGAGCCCAGACCCCAAAGCCTCGCTAACAGAGTCAACATCTCTCTTATTAGCTGAGTCCAGGGATGAGAGCCATCACCATCCCTGTGAGCTGAATCCATGAGTCACCATCTCACTTCTGGTAAGATACACACATGACAGTCCCAATTCCAACTGTTGGCTGTGTTCACATATGAGATTTAGGACCTCAACAGTGGTCTTTGTTCACGTGTAATAGTGACAATAGTAACTTTTGGCTGGGTTTGCCTACAAGAGTAAAAATCTCATCTGTGTGCCGGGCTGAGTTATATGTCACAATCTTACCTCTGGGAAAGGCTGAGAAATAAGAGTCACATTACTTGATTCTTCACCTGGAGTACGTCTCAATCCCCTCTAAGGGCAAGGCCTAGGCAGAAGAGTCACATAAGTTGTGTTCAGGGCCCAGTGACATATCATAATAATTCCTCTAGACAGAGGCCAGTCAGGAGAGTCATGATATTTGGGTGCCAGGCCAAGAGATGTGTCCCAGAGGCCTAAAGAATCTTTTTTTAGGCATGTCTAGGGCAGCAGAGAAGAGGCACATTATGTAGAAAATTAGTTCAGAGATATGTCACAACGTCCCCTTTAGGTGGCATGCAGGCAGGTGAGGAGGGTCAAATCATCTAGATAATGAGCCCACAATATGTCAACATGCTCCCTGATGGAAGGGCAAATGAAAGACAGTCACATAGCCAAGGTGAGTAAACCAGAGATGTCACAATGCACACTATACGTAGGGATCATGGGAAAGAGGAGCATCATATAACCCAGGGGCTACACCCAGATACGTGTCACAGTCACCCCACTGGGCAGGGCCTAGGCATGAGAGGATAGTCACATCCCAGAAATGCTAAGCCAAGTGATATGTCACAATTCCCACTGTGGATGGGTCCAAGAAAAAAGTCACATCATCTACATGCTGGGGCCACAGTACATATCAGTGTTTCCTGTAAGTATTGCCCAGGCAGAAGAGGCAAGTCAAGTCAGTTGGGTGCAAAACTGAGTGAAATGTCACAATGTCTTCTATAGGCAAAGCCCAGGTGGAAAAGGAGGGTCACATCAAATAGTTGATAGGCCCAGAGATATGTCACAATGCCCCTGTAAGCAGAAACCAGGCATGAGACTCAAACCACTTTTGTGCTGAGCCCAGCAATATGTCACAATGACTTTTGAGAGCAGGACCAAATCAAGACAGGAATGTCACTTTATTTGGCCTAGCGATATGTCACTATGGTTTATGTGAGCAGAACATAGGAAAAAGAGACAAGTCATATCAGCTGGGTGCCGAGCCCAGAGATATGTGTCGATCCCCCCATCAACAGAAATCATGCAGGAGAAGAGAGTCAAAACACACGGGTATGCCCGGGCATGGTGACCCATGCCTGTAGTCCCAGCACTTTGGACGGCTGAGGTGGGTGGATCGCTTAAGGTCAGGAGTTTGAAAAGAGCCCGGCCAACATGGTAAAACCATGTCTCTATTAAAAATACAAAAATTAGCTGGCCGTGATGGTGGGTGCCTGTAATCCCAGCTACTTGGAGGCTGAGGTATGAGAACTGCTTGAACCTGGGAGGTAGAGGTTGCAGTGAGCTGAGATTGTGCCACTGCACTCCAGCCTGGGAGTCTCCAGCGAGACTCTGTCTCAAAACACATACCCACACGCAGGTAATGGACACAGAAATATTTCATAATGCTCCCTGTAGGAAGGGCCCAGACAAAAGAGTACAATCTTCTGGCTGCTGGACTGTTCGGTAAGTCAAAATAGGCAATGTGGGCGGGCCACAGGAAAAAATCACATAACCTGAGTGCAGGGCCTATAAATACATCACAGAACCAAGACAGGAGAACAGATCACATCAGCTAAGTGCGGGGCAAAATGACATGTCATAATCTCTACTAGAGAGATCTGGGAAAGAGTCATTCGGATTCTGGGCAGAGGCTTACATCAGAATCACCTACAGGAAGGGCCAGGGATGAGATTCACAATCTCACAGATGTCCCAGTTGTAGGTTTGGTTTATGTACATGAGCCACAATCTCAAAAATAAACTGGATCTGTATAAAAGAGACTCAATTTCTTCTGAAAACTGTTTTCCCTTAGCGCAGGCCCAGCCTCACAGCTGTGGGGAATCTTGGTCTGAGATTCACCAACCCACCTATGGACCAGATCCATGTGTGAGAGTTAATTCTCCAACTTTCCACTGCCTCCAGGTGGGAGACTCAGAACCTCAACAGTGGGCTGTGTCTGTGTAAAAGGAGACAGTCTTTACTATTGGCGGCCTGTCCAAAGGAGTGTCACATTGTCACCTGTGTGCTGGCTCTGTGAGGACAGCCTCTCACCATTCAAGGGCTGTGCATACTATGTATGAGAGTCAACATCTGCTCTGGGACCTTCATGGCGGTAAGTACCCATGATTGTATGTGTGGCCCTAAGTCCACGTATGAGAGTCCACATCTCTCCTACTGGCTGAATCTAGATGGGAGAGTCCTGACCTCAGTGAGCTGGATTTAGGAATGAGTCGTCATCCCAGCTGTGGCCAGGTGTTCACATGTGACAGTCAGAATTTTAACCGCAGACTGTGTCTGCTTCTGAGTTCAGCATTTCACCAGTAGGCTCTTTTAGGTGTGAGGGTGACAATCCTAACAGTTGTCTGGGTGTCTGTATGAGAAACAGAATCTTGCTTGTTTTCTGGGCCCTGAGATGACATCCTCTGTGCCACTGGAGGGCTTGATATAAGATACAAGGAAGTTATAGTTTCCTATGACTTTCATACAAAGAGGAGATGCAGGACCTTACCCGTTTCACTAGGCCTAGCTATGAACGTATCTCTTATATTGACAGGTTTGAGGAAAGAGGCTCAGCATCTGACCTGTGAGATGGGCCAAGCTATACATCATAATCCTGCCTATGGGTAGAGGGTGAGCAGGAGAGTCATCTCAGCTGGGAGCTGGACAAGGCATATGTCACAATCTTCCTTGAGGACAAAGACCATGCAGAAGAGTCACATTACCTGGGTGCTCGGCCAGGGATAGTTTACAACCCCTTCCTGAAAGCAGGACACAGGATGCACAGTCACATCACCTGGGTGCTGGGCCCAGCGATATGTCACAATGCTTCCTGTGGGCAATACCCAGGCAGGAAAGACACATCATCTCAATGGTGGGCCCAGCATTGTGTCCCAGTCTTTCCTGTGGGTAGAATGCTGGCAGAAAAGGAAAGTCACATATCCTAGGTGATGGATTCAGGGATATGTAGAAAGGCTTTCTGTTGGCAGGGATAAGGGAGGATAGTTAAATCTTATTGATTTAGGAATCAGCCATATATCTTAATATCCCATATATGCAAGGGCCAGACAAATAAGACAATCACATTACCTGGGAGCTAGATCAAGGGACATGCCCCTGTACCCTTTTTTTTTTTTTTTTTACACAGGCAGAAGAAGTGAGTCACAACATATGAGTGATGAACAAAAAGATGTCACAATATCCCTGTTGGCAGGGCCCGGTTAGAAGAGTCGCATCAGGTAGGTTTTGATCCCAGCCATGTATCACAACACAGAATATACGCAGAGCCCAGGAAGAAGAAAAGTCCCCAGCACCTAGAATCTCGGCTCTGTGATACATCACAATTCCTTCTCGGGCAGAGCCCAAGCAGTAGAACACAGTCACGTCATCATTTAGGTGCATATAGGTCACAATATCCCCTAAGGAAAGGGCCGAGGCAGAAAAATCTCCTCACCTGGGCAGTGACACACAGGTGTATCCCAGTGCTTTTTGTGTTAGGGCTCAGGAAGAAGAAGAAAGTCACAAAGCCTGTAGGGTAGACCAAGTCATACTTCACAGTCACCCTAGTGAGCATGGTTGAGGCATGAGTGGAGAGTCACAAGATTTAGGTGCTGAGCTGAGTGATGTATCACAATGTCCTCTGTGAGCAGGAATTAGGCAAGAGAAAGGAGTCAAATCACTTGGGTGATGGTGCAGACAGATGTCACAAAATTCCAGGCAAGAGTAATATCATCTTGGTGTTGGATTCAGAAATATGTCACAATGCCCCACAAAACATTGTGGGAATGACACAAGCAGGAAAGTCACAAAACCTGGGTGTGAGGACTGGCAATAAATCATAATTTCCCCTGTGGACACACTCAAAAAGGAAAAGGAGACTCCCTTCATCTAGGTAATGGGCCCAGAGATATATTCCAATTACCTCTATTGGCAGGGACCAGGCAGAAGTGTCCCATCACCTTTGCGCTAGGCAATGTGCTGGGTCGCATCGCCTAGGTGACAAACAGCAACACATCACTCTTTCTTTCTAAACGTAGTCCAGGCATAAAAGGAGCATTGCATTTCCTCGGTGCTAGGCCCAGATGTGTTTCACTGTATCTGTTATAGGCAAAGATGTGGTAAGGGGAGAAAGTCCAATCAAATAGCTGATGAGCCCAAAGATATGTCACAATGCACTATGTGGGCAGGGTCCAAACACAAGACACACTTCACCTTGGCGCTGGTAACAGCAGTATTCACAATGCCTTCTGAGGACGGTGCCAAGGCAAAGAGTAACATCACCATGGTTTTGGGCCCAGCTTTATGTCACAATCTCCCCTGCGAGCAAAACCTCAGAAGACAAGAGAAGTCACATCAGCTCAGTAATGAACAAAGTGATGTTTTATTCTCCCCTAAGAGCTAAGACCAGGCAAATAAAGATAGTGACAGCACTTGGGTGACAGTTCTGGGATATGAAACAAGGATATGAAACAATTTTCTATACAGGGAGGCCTTAGGCAAGAGAGTTCAATGACATGGGCATAGGCCCACTGGTATATTACAATGCCTCCTGTGGGTGGCATCAAGGCACCAGAGGAGACACACCACCTGAGTGCAAGGCCCAGTGATGTCAAAATGCCCCCTCTGCTCAGCGCAGTTATATGTTTCAATCTCATATGTGAGCTGGGTCCAGGCAGTAGAGTCAAATCACTCAGGTGCTGGACTGGGGCATATGTAACAATAACACCTACAGAAGGTCCAGGGTTGAGATTAACAATCTCACACATGTCCCTGTTCTAGGCATGGGTCCACTTCTGTAGGGTAGCTCTAAGTACACAAGTCACAATCTCAGTGGTCAACAGGATCTCCGTGTGAGAGCCGCATTCCTTTTGTGAATTGTGTTTTGTAAGTAGAGTCACAGCCTCGTGGGTTTGCTGAATCTTAATTTGAGTGTCATGAATGCATTTGTGGAACAGATTCATGTATGAGAGTCAACTTTTAGCCACCTCAGGGTGTGAGAGTCAGAACCTCAACAGTGAGCCGTGTTCATGTGAAACAATGACAATCTTTCCTCTCGCCTGGGTGTGCATATACGTTACAATCTCACTTGTGTGCTGGTCCTGCTAGAACACTCTCTGTACCACTCGAGGGCTTTATACAATATACGTGAGTCAAAATTTACTCTGAAATTTTCACACTAGAGGGACCTTTGATTGTACCTTGGCCCTAAGCCCAGGGGTGAGAGTCAACATCTTTCTTATTGACTGTGTCCAGATAGGAGAGTTTTCACCTGCCTACAAGCTGTGTTTAACCATGAGTAACCATTCCATTTGTGGCTTGATGTTGCGGTGTCAATGTCACAATTTAAGCTGTAGACTGCGTTTGCATGTGAGATTCAAAACATCACCTGTAGGCTCTATCAATGTGAGAGGGTAGGTGAGAGTAGTAACTTTCTATAACCTTCTCACAAAGAGGAGACACAGGGCCTTACTTATTTTTCTAAGCCTAAATAGGAGAGTCAGTATCTCTTCTGTTGGCTGGTTCAACACACAAGGTATGCTAGTCATTATTACACCTGTGAGCTGAACCAAGGTATATGTCACAATGCCACCTCTCAGTAGGAACAAGCAGGAGAGACGCAGCACCCAGGCACTAGGCCATGGATATGTCACAGTCTGTTATGAAAGCAGAGACCAGGCTGGAGAGTCACATCATTAGCGTGCTTAGCCAAGAACATTTTAACATCTCCTCCTGAAAGCAGTGCAACAGGAACAAAATCAGCTCACCTGGGTGCTGGGCCCAGCAATATGTCACAATGCCCTCTGTGGGAAAATCCCAGGCAGGAGAGACACATCAACAGGTTGCTGGGTGCAGAAATAAGTCACAATTTTTTTGGTTGGCAAAGTTCAGGCAGAAAATGTGTCACAACCCTGAGGTGATGGATGCAGACATATGTCACAGGCTCACTGCAGGCAGGGCTCAGGCAGGAGCCTCACATCCTCTAGGTTCTGGGCCTGTGATGATCATAAGTGAATATGGCCACAGTTTCCATGGTGACTCATTGATGGACTCAGATCACAGGAACAGTGATAACTCTCATACCTGGATCCAGCCAAGAAGAGAGATGTTCAATCTCGTTCCTGATTCTAGGGAATGAATAAGATTGTGGATCCACAGGCAGGAAGGTCTCAGAGCAGATACTGACTCTCAGGTGTATATTTTAAAGCCATTTAGCTGCACAGTGTGTCATAATAGGGCCCAGGACACCAATGAGACTGTGACTCTTGTATCCACAGCCAGCTGAAAGTAAGAATTGTCACCCTCCCACTTGAATATAGCACAGTGTTGGCAAATCTCAGAGCTGGAGGCAGTCAACATTTGGAATTGTGTCTCAGACAAGAATCCAGTCCACAAGTGAGTTAGTGACTCTCCGACCTGGATCTGACACACCTGTGAGGCTGTGAGTTCCCCACTGGGACATGGTCTGCTGGTGAGATTGAGGTCTCATGCACATACCCAGTCCACCACTGAGTTTGTGACTCCTGTTCTAGGACCCAACACACAGATGTTGAATCTCATACCTAGAGCTGGGACATATACAGGATTGTCAATCTCATCCCTGTACCTTCCCACAAATGTGATCATGACATATGTCTTTGCCCAGCTCCTTAGAAATTTGACTTTCCTGCCCAGGCCCAGCCCCAAACTGAAATTGTGACATATACCGGGGCAAGCACTTAAAGGCTGTGACTTTATTCTTTTGCTTGGGAGCTGCAAACAGAAAAGATTGAGACATATTGCTAAGCCCAGCATTTAGGTTATGTGATTCTTCCTCCAGCGACATTGTGATATATTCTTCCCTGGATTATGGAACATTGGGAAATATTCCTCCCTGGAATATGAGATATTGTGACATCCTTCCCTGTTCCTACAGGAGCATTGTGACATTTCTCTGGGAACATTAACTAGATTAAGGGACTCCCCTCTCATACCTGGGTCATTCCCTCAGGGGGATTATGACATATCACTGGACTCAGAACCTAGGTGATCGGATTCTCCTCTGCTGCTCGGACCCCATCCACAGTGGGGTAATATGAATGGTAATATATTGCCGAGCCCAGCAACTAGATGAGGTCACTTTCCTCTCCTGCCTGGAATTTGCTCAGTAGGGAAGAGTTACATACCGCTTGGCCCAGCACCTAGGTAATGTGACCCTCCCCACCTCTTTGGGCCCGCCCCACAGTGGGAAATGTGACATGTCACTGGGCTCATCATCTAGATGATGTCATGCTTCTCCCCTTTCTTGACCCACCCACAGTGGGTGTTGTTACATATTACCATGTTCAACAGTTAAATGATGTGACTCTTTTCTCCTGATTGGGCCCTGCTCATAGGGGTCATTGTGACATAGAGCTTGGCCTTGAATCCAGATAATTTCACTCTCCTACCCAGGCTCTGCCTATGGAGAACAGTGTGACATGTCTCCGCATCCATGTGATGTGACTCTCCTGTCTGGTTCTGGCTGACAGAAGAGAATGTAACATATCACAGGACCCAGCACCTAGGTAATGTATTCCTATTTTTTTTCTAGGCCTTGCTTTTAGGGTAAATTGTGACATGTATTTGGAGGTATCCCCCTTTTTATGCCTGGTCAATGCCCAAGGGAAGACTGTGACATGTTGCTGAGCCCAGGACCGAGGTGATGTTTCTCTTCTGCCTGGCCTTGGCAGCCCACAAAAGGCATTGTGATGTATCTTTCTGCTCATCACACAAGTAATGGGACTCGTTTTTACCTGCCAGAGCCCCGTTCTTAGTCAAAATAGTGGCATATCACTGTACACTGCATGTAGGTAAGGTGACCCTTCTGCCTCTGTCCTTCTCATAGGAAAAATTGTGACATATCCCTGAACCAAGAACCTAGGTGATGTGACTTTTCTCCTGCGCCTTACATACTATATATATATATATATATACACACACACATATATATATATAGTATTTTATATATATTGTATTTATATATATATATTGTATTTTCCTGTCTTACATATAATATATATGCATAAATATATATGTGTGTGTATATATATATATGTGTGTATAAAAACTAGGTAAGGTGACTCTCTTCTATTACTTGGGCCTTGGCCAAAAGGGACATTGTGACATATCTCTTGCCCCATCACCTGGGTGAAGTGGCTATTCTCTTCTGAATAGGTGCTGCCCACAGCTGTGATTGTTTCAAAACCCTGGGCCCAGCACTCAAGTGTTTTGACTCTGCTGCATGGACCCTGCCCACAGAGGGCAGTGTGATACATGTATGGGCCCATCAACTAAAAATGTGACTTTCCCTGCGTCGCAAGCTCGTCGTCCTGAAGCGGAGGCCAGAGAAGAGACAAGGGCACGAGCATTGGATAGTTACAGACATGCCTTTCTTGGACGTGCAGAAAAAGTTCGGCATTAACCTAGATCGGTGGTGGACAATCCAAAGTGCTGAACAGCCCTACAAGTTTCCTGCTCGATGCCATGCTTTTGAAAAAGAATGGATAGAATGTGCACATGGAATCGGTACTATCTGGGCAGAGAAAGAGTGCAAGATAGAATATGATGATTTCATAGAGTGTATACTTCGGACAAAAACAATGAAACGTATGGATACCATCTGGAGGCAACGGGAAAAACTGATGAAGGAAGGGAAGTACACCCCTCCACCTCACCACATGGGCAAGGGGGAGCCTCGGCCCTGAGCAGACACAGCTATTGATATCTGGAAGCTGATTTTCATGTTCTCTGTTCTCCACTGGAAAGGTTGTTTATGGAAAACCTCCTTGTCAAAGTGTGGAAAAATAAAGTATTGCTCCATCCTAAAAAAAAAAAAGTGACTTTCCATATTAGTCTGTTCTCATACTACTAATAAAGTCATACTCAAGACTGGGTAATTTATAAAAGACATAGGTTTAGTGGACTCACAGTTCCACATGGATGAGGACGCCTCACAATCATGGTAAAAGATGAAGGAAGAGGAAAAAGGCATCTTACATGGTGGCAGGCACAAAGGCCTGTGCAGGGAAACTCCCCTTTATAAAACCATTAGATCCCATGAGACTTATTCGCTACCCCAAGAACAGTATAGGAGAACCGGTCCTATAGTTCAATTATATTTACCTGGTCTCACTCCTGACACATGGGGAGTATTACAATTCAAGGTGGGATTTTGGTGGGGACACAGCCAAACCATGTCACTCTTTGTCCTGTCTGGGCCCTGCCCATAGGGGCGATTTTGACACATCACTGAACCCAGCATCTTGGTGATGTGAATCTCCTGGGCCCTCCCCTCAGTGAAAATGGTGACATGTCACTGGGCTCAGTACTTAGGTGATGTGACTTCCCTCTCCTGCCTGGACTCTGTCCTAGAAGAGAGTGGTAAGATATCACTGAGACCAGCACTTATGGTCTGTGGTAATGTGATTCTCAGCTTCTCTCAGGGCCCTGTTTACAAGGGGCAAGGTGACATAGTGTGGGGACTATCTCTCAGGTGATGTGACTCTTCTGCATTGGCCTGGCCTAAAGGGGGAATTGTGACATATCTCTGGGCCTACCACCTAGGTGATGTGACCTTCCTCACCTGCTTGTGCTCTGCCCACAGGAAGATTTCCATGTATCTCTGGGCTCAATACCTAGGTAATGGGACTCTTCTGCCTAAGCACTGCTTACATTAGGCCCAAGACACAATGATGTAAGTTTTCACTTCTGCTTGGGCCCTACACAAAGTGGGCATTGTGACATATCATGGGGCTCATCACCTAGATGATGTAATTCTTTTGCTTGGGCCTTGCCCACAGTATAGTGACATATTACTAGGCATATCACCTAGGTGATGTGATATTTCTGCTCTGGCCTGTACCATAGAGGGCATTGTGACATATTGCTGAACTTAGTGCTCAGGAGATGTGACTGATGGGCCAGGGCTGAATCTACAGGTGGACTGTGACATATTTCTTGTCCAGCACCTAGGTGACATGACTCTTCTTCTTTTTTTTGCACAGGCCCTGACATCAGTGAGGATTTTGGCATATTGCTGGGCCCTACACCCAAATGATGTGACTCTGCTGCCTCAGTTCTGCCAAATAAAAGCATTGTGACCTATCCAATAGGCTAGAACCTACATGATGTGACTTTCCTCTCCTTCCTGAGCCCCGTAAATGGAGTTAATTGTGAAATACTGCTTTGCACAGGACCAAGGTGATGTGGTTCTCTAGGCTGGGCCCTGCCCATAAGAGGCATTGTGACATATTGCTGAGCTCAGCATTCAAGTAATGTGACTTTCTTGCCAGGGCCCTGAATATAGAGGTTTCTTGAAATATTCCTAGACCAACATTCAATCAGCATGACTCTCTTGTTTGGTCTCTTTACACCGGCCTAGCTCACAGGCGTGATGATGACTCTCATATGTGGACCCAACTGATAGGAAAGATTTTGACTCTCATGGCTGGAATTAGGGGAATAGGTCAGGTCTTCTGTTTTCTGCTTGTGGTAATTCACAGAAGGGGATGACACTGAAGCACCAACACACAGGTGAGATTGTGCATCCCATAGGCATGCCCAGCCAACAATTAGAATTGTCACTCTTACACATGGGCAGAACCTACTGGTGAGGTCCTGAGTCACACATGTGGACATCATCCACAGTTAGAGTTGTGACTGTCGTATGTAAATTCGGCAACGTGTGAGATGATGACTCATTTCTAGACCAAGCTCACAGGTGTAATGATGACCCTCATATTTGAATTTAGCCAATAGAAGAGGTGTTGATTTTGTAGCTGGGCTTAGGGCATTGAGCAAGGCCCCAAGTCTTCTGTCTGCAGAAAGTTCTGAGAGATTACCCCACTCATGCATATAATATAAAGCCCTTAAAGTTCACAGAGTTTTATAACAGGACCCAGTACAAAGGTGAGACTGTGACTCCTCTGTGCACATCCAGCTGACAGGATCATCACCCTCACACATGAACAGAGCCCACTGCTGAGGGTATGGGTCTCACTTATGGATACAGCTCACAGTTTGAATTGTGACTGTATATGTGAATTTTACCACAGGTGGGATGTCTTATTTCTGAACGCAGCTCATAGGTGCAGTGATGACTCTCATACCTGGACCCAGCAAAGAGGAGAAATGATGAATCTTGTAATAGGAAGTTATGCATGTGTATGTGTGTGTTTCAGTTCCTTGGGCTTTGAAAAATTGATTCTACATTATCTTATACAGATGCAAATGTATTAGGTGGTTTTTTTGCAAGGCTGTATGTATATTCCTTCTGTTGATTGAAATATTGTCATTGGTGTTATGTAGATATATTTGTAGATCTCAGAACAGAAACAATATTGTAAATATTATAGCTTAATAAATGTTGATGGTATGTAAATATATCAATAATACATATTTAGAAGGTAGTTGTTAACAATTGCTTAGAGCTCACGTGGTCAGCCAAGGCCTATCTTCTTGAAAACCATGCTGAAATGGCACTTCTTCATTACAGTATCTCTTGGGGTAAAATAATCCTTACTAAGAATGGTCAAAATAAGATTTAAAAATTTGTTGGAGATAAATCTTATGTGTAAAGAAACAGAGCTGTGGAAAAAAAATGTTCAGGGAAATATAAATAAATCAATTTTACCACAGTTATTTAAAAAAAAAAAAGCTTCAAAGTCAAATCAAATTTATTTATTCAACTAAAAATTGTAAGTACAATGGTGAATGAAATTAAAGGCCTCTGACCACAAAGTTTACACTGTAGGGTTTGAAAAACAGACAATTAGATAATAAGTAATCCTCATATAGTGCTGGTAGTATAAGTTGGTACTACATTCTGAAAGAGGGCTTGCCAATGTCTACACAAGCTGAAGAAAGAAATTTATTCTAATTATATTTGTGGTTAAATATCTACATAATTGCACAAATTTATCTTTAAAAATCCACAAGATGGTCTATAGAAGTGCTGAAAAGCCTGGAAAATTACCAGCTGTTCATTAACAGTTGAATAAGTGAATTTAGTTTATATGATGTCACATTGTAGATCAATGAATATGCAAACTATATGCAGCAACGGAGATTAATCTCACAAACAATGATGAGCCAAAAAAACCTGGACAAAAATGAGAACTTACTGTCTTAATCTAAAGTTCAAAAACAGGCAAATATTATTTATCGTATAAAAAGCCAGGATATACGTTTCTCTTGAGTGAACAGTGACGGGAAAGGAGAAAAAAGGAGGGAGAGTGCCAGGATGCTCACACTCTTCCATCACTGGGTGCTGGGTTCATGGTATATGCATTTTGTACAGATTTATCAAGCTGTTCTTTTATAACATATGTGCTTTTTAGGTGTGTAAAATTAAAAACATTTCTTTGAATGTTTCTATTTACCGTTTTTATTTTTTCCTCAATCAGTTTTTTGTCACTTATTTTTCTGGAAAAACAGGTAGTTTTATCTAAATTTTATAATTTAATAAAATTGTTTTTTTGTTGTTTGTTTGTTTTTTTGAGAGGAAGTCTCACTCTTGTTACCCAGGCTGGAGTGCAATGGCGCGATCTCGGCTCACCGCAACCTCCGCCTCCTGGGTTCAGGCAATTCTCCTGCCTCAGCCTCCTGAGTAGCTGGGATTACAGGCACGCACCACCTTGCCCAGCTAATTTTTTGTATTTTTAGTAGGGATGGGGTTTCACCTTGTTGACCAGGATGGTCTCGATCTCTTGACCTCGTGATCCGCCCGCCTCAGCCTTTCAAAGTGCTGGAATTACAGGCTTGAGCCACCGCGTCCGGCCCCAGAAAATTGTGTAAAATATTATCTAATGTTTAAGTCTCGAATGTATCTACGTTCTGTCTTTTTTAATGTTTTTATTGTTCTTAATGTAAATTTATCTAATTTATTATAACATTCAAATAACAACACGAATTTCACTGCCATGTTTTTATTATTTTTTATTGCATTTTAGGTTTTGGGGTACATGTGAAGAACATGCAAGATTGTTGCATAGGTACACACATGGCAGTGTGATTTGCTGCCTTCCTCCCCATCACCTATATCTGGCATTTCTCCCCATGCTCTCTCTCTCCAACTCCCCACCCCCCGCTGTCCCTCCCCTATTTCCCCCCCCATAGACCCCAGTGTGTGATGCTCCCCTCCCTGTGTCCATGACTGCCATATTATTACCTCTTAAGTAACAGAAAAATCAGACAGGTTAAGAAACTTGCCCTATCCCAGCACAGCGTTTGAGAGAACATGGATGAATCTGGAAACCATCATTCTCAGCAAACTGACACAAGAACAGAAAACCAAACACTGCATGTTATCACTCATAGGTGGGTGTTGAACAATTAGAACACATGGGCACAGGGAGGGGAACATCACACATTATGATCAGTTCAGGGGCTAAAGGAGAAAAAGTGGGGGATAGGGAGGGATAATGAGGGGAGAAATACCAGATGTACGTGATTGGGGGGATGAAGGCAGCAAACCACCTTGCCATGTATGTACCTATGCAAAAATCCTGCATGATCTGTTCAAGTACCCCAGGACCTAAAGTACAGTAACAAAAAAATTTATGGAGGGTAGATCTGGTGTTAAGTGTCTTTAACACACACAAAATAAAAACAAAACACAAGGACACAAGGAAACTTTGGAGGGATGGACATATTTATCACCTGGATTGTGGTGATGGAAAATGTAATATACGTTAAAGTTCATTTGCAGTGTGGAATCTCAAACTTATATATATATAAATAAGCAAGACACAGATGAAACAATGCTAGCATATATATATACAGGCAAAAAAACAGGCAATGTGTTTATATATATAAGGTCAAAAATCTTTTAAAAATAAATACTTTTTATCACTAATTTGGTGTTTTTCATTTTCTGTTTTTTTGTTTTTGTTTTTTTTGAGATGAAATCTCACTCTCACTAGCTGGAGGGCAGTGGCGAAATCTCGGCTCACTGTAACCTCTGCCTCCTGGGTTTAAGTGAGTGTTCTGCCTGAGCCCACTGAGTTGCTGGGACTACAGGTGTGTGTAACCACGCTTGGCTAATTTCTGTATTTTTAAGAGAGACTGGGTTTCACCATATTGGCCAGGCTGGTCTCAAACTCCTGATCTCAGGTGATCTGCTCACCTTGGCCTCCCAAAATGCTGGGATTATAGGCATGAGCCACCTCACCCAGCCAATCTGGTGTTTTTAAATACCCAGATGTCCTGTTTTAATCAGATTAAGTCTGGGGAATGTTGACAAATTTTATTTAACTTTCTGTACAATGTATTCAAAATTTTCTAGTTTAACCTGATATTGATTAATGATGAGTAAACAATCTTTTATCAAATTTCAGGCCTACTAAGTTGCTGAAGGTATTTTTAATTTAAAATTTTTTGGCTGGCCTCAGTGGCCCATATCTGTAATCCCAGCACTTTTGGAGGCTGAGGCATGCAGATGACTTGAGGTCAGGACCTCAAGACCAGTCTGGCCAACCTGGGAGGAAGAGGTTGCAATGAGCTGAGTTTGTGCCATCGTACTCCAGCATGGGTAACAAGAGTGAATCTCCAGCTAAAAAAAAAAAAAAGAAGCAGCAGAAGCAGCAAATACGGCAAATAAAAATTTAATACTTTGATGGAAGTAAGAAAAGTATTCTAAAATTTCTTTTTGACCCATTATTATTATTATTATGAGAAGGATTGTGATGGAATGGCTACAGCAGTGTGATCTTAACCCACTCTCCCACTCTCTGTTTCATCATTCTTGGGCTATGGTCATAAAACTTCTATGCTTCTTTTCAGACAAATGTTAATTATTTAGCATAATCTTCACAGCCTCATATTTTCAAAAATGGTTCATTCTTAAGAAAATGTAATTACATCACCTACCACTTTTCCTCAAACAAAGTAACAAATTAACCATATAGTCTAGTCTATAGTTAGTACATAAAAAATACAGATGTAGCGTCATCTATTTTAACTGCACACTTGGGAATAAAACACACCTTGGGCTATAGGCCACGAGCTTACAGAGAAGATAGCTCCCAAATTGTGGGGACCTGGTACAGAAACATTTACCCCGTACGTGAAGGAGTAAATAATTCTCTCTCACTGCTGATTCTAACTATTAACTTGGAACTAAAGAAACATGTCATTGTGCCACAAAACATCTTGTTATTTCTAGTTTAGGTTCAGGGAAGATTTGCAGCATATGTACACTGCATGGCTTTGAGGTCTGGATACTTAATAATCCCATTGCTTAAGTAGTGAACATCACACCTGAAAGTAGCTTTTCAATGTTTGTCTCCCTTTCTTCTTCCATCTTTTTTTTTTTTTTTGAGACGGAGTTTCGCTGTTGTTACCCAGGCTGGAGTGCAATGGCACGATCTCGGCTCACCGCAACCTCCACCTCCTGGGTTCAAGCAATTCTCCGGCCTCAGCCTCCTGAGTAGCTGGGACTACAGGCACACACCGCCATGCCCAGCTAATTTTTGTATTTTTAGTAGAGACGGGGTTTCACCTTGTTGACCAGGATGGTCTCGATCTCTTAACCTCGTGATTCACCAGTTTTGGCCTCCAAAAGTGCTGGGATTATAGGTGTGAGCCACCGTGACCAGCCTCTTTTTCCATCTTTTTAAACATTTATTTTCATTTTTTTAGTGTTTATTTTCATCTTGGTTTTCATCTGCACCCAATGTCTACCTCCCACATATAAGTGAGAATGTGTGGTATTTGTTTTACGGATCTGTGTTAATTTGCTTACATTAATGGCCTTCTGCTGCATTCATGTTGTGGCAAAAAAAAAAAAATTACTTCATTCTTTTCTGTGGCTGCATAGTATTGCATGCAGTATAAGCACCTCATTTCTCTTATCCAATCTAAGATTTATAGACACCCTGTTTAATTCTGTGTCTTTTGGTGTTGTGAATTTTGCTGCCATAAACATGTCAGTGCAGGTGTCTTTTGGCAAAAAAGAATTTGTTCTTCTTTGGGGTGACGCGGCTGGCAGATTAAATGGCAGCTCTATTTCTCGTTCTCTGAGAAATCCCCAAACTTCTTTCCACAGGGGCTACATTTTATTGCAATCCCAACAACCGTTATAATGATACCTGTTTCTCCACAACTTAGACATGCTATTTTTTGACTTATAAAAACAGTCATTCTAACTGGTGTAAAATGGTGTCACTTTGTCCTTTTGGTTTACATCTCTCTGATGCTTGGGGTGTTAGGCATTTCTTGAATGTTTATTGGAAACTCTTATGTCTTCCTTTGAGAAGTGTCTCTATTTCTGATTTTTCAAATTAAATTTCTTATAGAGTCTATGTATTAATCACTTGTATGCAGTTTGGAAATATTTCATATTGTAAAGTGTCTGTTTCTTTGTTGATAAGTTTCTTTGGCTGTACAGAAGCTCTTGAGTTTAATTAGATGCAAAGTTTTTATTTTTATTTTTGTTGCACTCACTTTTAAGATGTTATTCAGAAACTCATTCCGGAGACAGTGTCTAGAAGAGTACTCTCTAAGTGTTCTTCTAGAATTTTTGTAGCTTGAAAACTCACAGGTAAGTCTTTAGTCTTGTTATACCCGAGTGAGTCAAGGAATGCACCAAACTTTGAGATTCAATTATGAGTCCTTTATTTTAGCTAGCGACCGAGAGGTGGCTGACACCCAAAATTCTCTCAGCCCTGAAGAAAGAGTTAAAAGGTTTCTTATACCCTAGGTTGAAAAGGCAGGGGGTAATCTAGCTGAAGCAATTTTTTCAGAGAAGCAGAGTAAGCAAAAAGTTAAAAGATAAACTAGTACATGAGAAATAAAACAGTACCAGGTGCAAGGCTAGAGCTGTCATAAAAAGACATACATCTTATAGATATGGGCGCTCTGGGTACTCGACAGCGCCTGCATTCCCAGGCTCTGCTGGTGCCACCTAACTTGGCCTCTTATCAGCAAATGCACTCCTGGATGTGCCTGGTGTCATCCTGCCCCAGTTACATACTTAATGACGGGAGTAACTAAAATGAAGACGCTAAGATGGAGTTTGTCCAGCTCAAGAAGCTAACATGAAGCCTGAACCGCTCTCAGCTAAGAAGAGAGTCAGTTTAAGCTAACAAAAAGCAGGTTATCACAGTCTATCTTGACTTATATTTTCTATATGGAAAGAGGTAGAGGTCCACTTTTTTCTGCATATGACCAAGCAGTTTTCCTAGTACTATTTATCATAATTATAATAATTATTATTTTTTGAGATAAAGTCTTGCTCTGTCACCCAGGCTGGAGTGCAGTGGCATGATCTTGGCTCACTGCAACCTCTGCCTACCGGGTTCAAGCGATTCTCTTGCCACAGCCTCCCCAGTAGCTGGGACTACAGGCACACACCACCACAATGAGCTAATTTTTGTATTTTTAGTAGAGACAGGGTTCCACCGTATTGGCAAGGCTGGTCTCCAACTCCTGACCTCATGATCTGCCTGTCTCAGCCTCCCCAAGTGCTGTGATTACAGGCATTAGCCACCACTCTCGGCCTGTCAGTAGCACTTCTATAAACTAACACATATCTCAAAATAAATTTAAAAACCAATTCCATCTACAATAACTGTAATAACTATACTTTGAAATAAATTTTACAAAAAATATGAAGCATCTTACATTGTACCCTAAAAAAACATTAAATTGATATATTAATCATTAATGAACTGCCATTATTAATAGTGTTAAATATTTGTATTACACAAAATGATCTTCAGATATAAGGCAACCTCAATGAAAATATCAGTGACATACTTAATACCAATTCTTAAGAATAGGTCAGGCACTGTGGATCACTACTGTAATTTCAGCACTTCGGGAGGCCAAGGTGGGCAGATCATAAGGTCAAGCGATCAGTACCATCCTGGCAGACATGGTGAAACCCCATTTCTACTAAAAATACAAAAATTAGCTAGGCATGGTGGTTCGTGCCTGTAGTACCAGCTACTTGCATGGGACTGAGGTGTCAGAAATGCTTGAACCCAGGAGGCAGAGGTTGCAGAAAGCCAAGATCACACCACTGCACTCCAGCATGGAACAGAGCAAGACTCTGTCTCAAAAAAATTAAAAGATTATTAAAAATACATCAATAATTTATATGG